TGCGCCGCTCGCTGGCGGTCCTTCATTTCCCCGCCCGTGGGATTTCAGAAATGAGCTGTAACGCTCGCCGTGTAAAATTAGTTCTTCCGATGAGTACTGAAGCTGCCTAAACTTTTGCAAGAGACAGGAGCCGCAGTGGTTTGGGTTTTTTTGGTTTTTTTGGTTTTTTTTTCCGCAAATCAGAGAGGAGGACAGCATCCATTCACCACTGTACATTGTGAGTGCATCTGGAGGAGATCAGGGGCAGCAGTGGTGGATAAGATTAGGGCAATGGTTTCTTCCCGGGAGAGTGAGATACCAAAAATTTGTTCTCTATTTTGCTTTGTCAGAGTACAACTTTGAATTCCAACTTCCAGGTCATTTCAAGAATAAGGCCAAAAGCAGCTAAAGGAGATGGTTACTATAGCAGTCTGTTATTTTAGGGCCTAGAAATCTGATTTTAAATTGTGTAAGCCGAGTTTGAAATGTGCTGACTTTCCTACAAGAATAAGAAAGCCTTACGGTAGAGGCTGCACTGAACAGACCAAGATAAAACACTGTCAGGAAGCTGGACTGAATTTTTCTTCTGTCTGAGCTACACTGGCATGTAAATTTCTTCCGTGATAGCCTGAAGAGAAACCTATTCTAGTTTGGCTTGACTATAAGCTTTTCCTGAGCATCTGACCTGTATTCAGCTGGAGTAAGGTAGGACAAAATATTTGAAGGATATCCTCAAAAATGAGGTATTTTTTTTTCTGTGGATGCAGAAAGGTTTAATGTTGGAAGCAAGAAACAACAAGAGCTAAAAATAGTTTTTCTTGTATGGATACGCCTGGCAGCTGGAATGCCACCAAAGTTATCAGCTGAGTTTGGAAACTGCAGGAAGAATTTCAACATTTTCATATAGCTGGAGATCTCTCTCTTTCTGGTTTCCATCTTGTCTTCTCTCAAGTAATTCATCATACCTTAAAGAGCTGACTCAAGAATTCCAATTACTGTAAGCCAACCCAAAATCTGTATGGGAAAGGAGTGAAGGAAAGGAGAGGGCAGAGCATCTTCAGGTGTGGAGGAAGAGTGGAGAATGGGTAATTGAGGGTTTTTTCCTTGCAATCAACTTGAAGCCTTCTCAGGACAATCCTCCTTTCCCTGGAGGCTGTATTCTCTCTCCCTTTCTCCTCCCCTGCAAAGTTATCTTTGCACCCATCTTCACATTTCCATCCTCATCAAGTGGCAAGAGGAGCCCTATGTTTCCCTTTTGCCAGCAGCCTGTGCTGGGCCATAGCAACTGCTGACATTGCCCTTGCTTGGAGCTGGCCTCCTCGAAACAGCAGGGATGGGGTTAGTAAAGAGATCTTAAATGCATGGCTGGAAATGACAAAGCTGCCTAGCAGAACCACTGCTCTGGTCTGTAACGAGAATTACTGGGTTTATCAAGTTCCTTGAACTTCTTCCAGTTATCCTGAAGTGTAGTTAGTTCATTCCCAGTGACAAGTGGTTCATTATAAATGAAGAAAACCTTGGCTTCCAAGACTGCCTTTGTAAGTAGTGAGCACTTGAGTGTTGTGTTTCAAATGGAGGGCTCCAAGGCATCTATGGAAGGTTCTGTGCTTTGACTCTTTTTTTTCTTTCTAAAGAGTGGCAGAAGGGAGCCATAGTACTCCACCTATCTGCTTGCAGAAAGTCTCTCTATAAAGCAGAGAGAAAAAAATGGACTTCTCTATAAATCTAGTTATGAGATCAGCTGGGACGACATCAGCCATCACAGTGGAATAACACCAACCCAGACTTTCTATGTGAACAAGCAGTTAGTGACTGAACTTTCCTTAGGGCTCACAAAGTTCAGCTACAGAGGAATACCAAATATCCAGACCCTTATGAAAAGCTGAAAAGGGGAGGAGTATTCTCGGGAAAAATAGAAAAAAATAATTCTCAAGCCTGGTATTAGAACTGTTTTGTTCAGCAATAACTGAACCAACACTTTGAAGGTAACTTTGTATATCAAAGTTAATGTTTAAATGTGCACATTTCTGCTATATCAATAACCTAGACTGGTGTGAACAACTGGTGTCCCTCTACAAAATCTTTTGTCTGGGATGATTCCCCAGCCTGGTTTCAAAACTTTCAGATATCTTTTCATATGACCACATACATCCAGAGCTCAGACCTGTGAGTCACCGTAATCTCCAGATGTCTTAGGAAAGTCCCTACATCTCCTCCACAACCTGAGTTAGCTACTTTAAAGCCAGGGAGGGTTTCCTTGTATTGTAAAATGTGGTGTTTAGTAAGTAGACTCCTGCTCAAAGTTGGTGTTCCATTCTGGCAAAGGTGAAAAGTGTAAAACTATGCTAAAACAAATCCAGCCTCTTCTTGGCATCAGAAGCCACAAGCTGAGGTTGAACTGTAGTGCTTACTTAACAATAAAAAAAAAAATTATTATAGACAACAAATATGACAATAGGGTAAAGGTGCCTCAAAAAGAGTCACTGGTCCATTACACAGCTTTGAAAGCGATGTTCCCCACTTCTTTTTCCATATACTGGCTGTTTCACTGGAGAGCACTTCTTCTACTATTCTAAACTAAAATTAAGGAAAGTGGTTGTATTTGCCCTGGCCTACACTGCCATTGCAATATAAACCAGAGAGCTTAACCACATACAAATCCTTGAATTGCTTGGCTTTTAAAGTTTAATCATAGACCCTTTCTTTCTTCACTGCTGAGGTTTCCATGTAATTGGAATGAAGGATGTTGGAACTGAGCACAGGTTTCCCAGTGGCAGCTGCCAGTAGTTGGATAATACCACTAACATCAATGCTGCCAAAAGAGAAAAATGGTCTTTTCAGTAATGTTTTGAGTTCAGAATCAAGAATTCTGGGTTCAGTTTCTGGCTCTGCCTCAGACTTCTAACAATGTTACATTTCTCCTGCATGTTCTCAACTAGAGATGGGAATAATACTGCTTTTTGTCTTTCCCATTTAAAGTATTCACTGCTGGTATGGTGCATCACCCCATCTAGGTGGGGCATTCCACGTGACCATAAGGCACCCACAGCACAGTTCCTACAGCCTTTGTGGGATCCTGAAAATGTTACTCATGCGATGAGTAACCAGAATTAACCCTCCTACTCAGCTGAGCTTTGCTGCATGCAATAAAACCAGGAGGCTCCTCTCCACCAGCAACATTCTGCTTTCCTCATTTGTCTGTCTGTCCTAGAAGACCTTGGTTCCTTGGGATAGCAGTTAGCAAAGTGCCCTTTTTCTTACAGGCAGATTCATAGCTCTCCTCTGTGCGGGTAGTGGAGAATCATTGGTGACTTTTAAGTCAGCTAAAGCCACGTTTTGGCCATTACATGAAAGAGCACAATTGGTCTGGCTTCCCAAAGGTTCCTAAGTCTCATGAGTGTAGTCTGTCTCTCCATCTCTGCTTGGATCCCAACTTTTGAATGCTCTGAGTGTTTCCAAGCGTATTCTACCTTCTACTATATAGCTATAGGAAAGAGAAGCAGAAACCTAATATGTAACTGCATACCTCTGGAATAAATAAAATCAGGATGTTCTGCTTTGGAATGAAGAAAACCAGGATGTTCTACCAAGTGGAATGACTCAGACTGCTGTTCACAAAGGGAAAAACAGGTAAAACTCAGCTGATTTCATCTTCCAGTAGGTAGCTCTGCATGGATGCTGGCTGAATTATCTGCATCCATCTTGCTAGAAACGATTGGAAGAGTTAGAGGCAAAACAGGGAATATCTGAGGCATTTCTATTTTGAGCAGATTGTAGAATTCTATTCCACTGATGTCAGTTCTAAAATTGCATGATTATACTTAGAAGATATTAAGATAACTGTATGTATTTCCAAAGTGTATTTTCAAATCTCTCTTTCTTGTTTTAGAAAAAAATAAAATAAGATGGAGCACATGTTACTGCTACTCATAATTTTCATACCTATATTGGGTCTCAGTAATGGAACAGAAACTGAACAAGATTTTACTTGGCACATAAAGAAGATTCCCCAGATTGTGAGAGAAAGAACTTTCTCCCTTGACAGCCCTAAATTTGAAGCAAAAACCAAATTAGAGCTGAACGGTGTATGTGGAATTGAATGTCAAAGGAAACTGCCAGTGCCAAGCTTGTCTGACTTGAAGAGCCTCTTATCCTATGAGACTGTTTTTGAAAACGGCACACGGACCCTGACTGAAGTGAGTGTCCTCGGAGCAGTGCCTGACCCAGCTGCAAACACAACCACACAAAGGCCTTTGAGGAGGAAGAGGCAGATATATGGGACAGACAGTAGGTTCAGCATCTATGACAAGAGGTTTATGACCAACTTTCCATTCAACACCGCTGTGAAGATCTCCACGGGCTGCAGTGGCATTCTGGTTTCCCCCAAGCATGTGCTCACAGCAGCCCACTGCCTGCACAATGGCAAGGATTATGTCAAGGGCAGCAAAAGACTGAGGGTGGGCCTGATGAAGACAAAATCCAGAGGCAACGGCAGGAAACGTAAAGGTGCTAAAAGAAGTAGGAGAGAAATTTCTGTGGCCAAAGAGGATCCCAAAGCCGCCACAGAATTAAGGCGACCATCCAAAGGCGATGAGAGAAAGCAGAGGGGATCTGGGAGGAAGCAAGGGACCTCAGATGGCATGCCCTCCTTCCAGTGGACCCGGGTGAAGAGCACGCACATCCCGAAAGGCTGGTTTAAGGGTGTCTCTGGGGATATTGCCCTGGATTATGATTATGCTGTTCTTGAGCTCAAGCGTCCCCACAAAAGGAAATACATGGAGCTGGGAATCAGCCCAACAATCAAAATGATGCCTGGGAGCATGATCCACTTCTCAGGTTTTGACAATGATCGGTCTGGGCAGCTGGTCTATAGATTTTGTAGCATTTCTGATGAGTCCAATGATCTGTTTTATCAGTACTGTGATGCTGAGCCTGGCTCCACAGGATCTGGCATCTATCTCCGTCTGAAGGAGCCAAACAAAAAGAAGTGGAAACGCAAGATCATCGCTGTTTACTCAGGCCACCAGTGGGTGGACATCAATGGTGAACAGCAGGATTACAATGTAGCGGTACGAATTACTCCTCTCAAATATGCCCAGATTTGCTTCTGGATACATGGGAATGATGAGAATTGCACCCAAGGCTGAAGAGAGCCGAGCTGCAGTTCTGCTTAGCACCCTCACTGCCATAGATTGAAAGGCGACAGTGACTGGAAGAACATCACTCCACGCCAGAACGTGTTTGAACTCAAAGCTTGCAAGTAGTGCTATGGTGACTTAAGGGATGCTGAATTTCTAGGGGAGGGGTAGAATTGTCAGACAAAGTATTTCTAACTGTAATCAACCTAGATACACACTTAAAATCCCAAACTATATTTATGTTTGCAATTGTGATAAATTCAAGTCATTTGTGAGGAAAAAAACGGCTGCACCTGTTTGTCATTTTTTTCCCCAGAGGAAGCGTTGAAACATCTCAAACTGGTGTTATTAAGCAATATCTATTTTTTTCCAATGGATTTACTTTTCTCAGGGTTCTGTTCCAATTCTTCAAATGCAAGTTGTGCATATAGCATGTTCCTGTATGTGCAGAATGAACTGCATGAGAACAAGACATTATTGTGGCATTCTCTAAAGACCACAGGTCCATGTTGAGAAGCAGCACTATAGTTGATGATGGTTAGTTTGGAAAACTTCCTCTTCTGGTTGCTGCAGGAACACTCCCATGGAAATTCCAAATTTATGTAGCTGAGGGTTACATCTTAAAGAAAAAAATCACTCCATTGCTCAGTAAAAACAGCAAAAGAGAAATTAACAAAAAAATAGTTTCTGTGTTTGGAAGAAGAAGAAACATTTAGACATATTTAATGTCTTTAAATGTTCTTAGAGAAGCTATAGAAATCTTAAACACATGCATTTGCCTTCCAATCAATATTTGGAGAGGTGTAGGTTTAGTTTCTAGTCAAATGTTTAGCTTTACCATTGGGAGAAGTCACTGACCCCCGAAGTAGCTACTTGACAATCATTTGGAGCTTCACAGATGATATATTTTCTGGGTGCTAAACATTTCTTCAGTTTTTATAAATTACTTTTATACAAGTTCAGCTTCATAGATAGGATAGTATGTGTTAGACTGGGAGTTGGAAATCAATATTTTAGTTTGGCTATATACAGTTTTGCAAAGTGTGTGGTCTTAATCATGTTATATTCAGATTCCACCTCAACATGATTCACAGGGTTAACTGAAAATTTCTCCCAACTAAATTATAGCACCTTCTGAATGGTAGAACTATCCTGTGCTTTATAGAAGGTATCTTGTTAGATAGCAGCAGTAGTTAGCAAATAATTTGGTTCAATATGTTTGCAGAACCATGTATTTAATGAAGACACAAACTGAGCTTGACTTTTATACACCTTTAAACACAAACCACCTTCTTAAAAACTGTTGTTGATTGCTATATAAGTCTATATCTTTTATTTTATGTCAAGATTTTGAAGTACACAGAATTCTTATGGTGCTACATTAATCTAATAGCATAAAAAGATACTGTGCCTTTCTGATCATATCCTTTGGGTTTCAATACTTTTCATAGTATTCACCACTGTATAATTTAATTTTTTTACCATAAATTTATGCTGACCAAAATACATTTTCTTCCTGTGCAGGAGAAAAAATTACAAGATTTAAATTTTTTTTTTTAATCTTTAAAACATGCTTTTGATGACATAACATGGTTTTAAATAACCCTTTTTTTTGGTATATGGTTGAAAGTGTATAACCTGACACACTGAATGTGCAGGCAACTTTGTCCTATTATTGCCAAAGCACAAAAATTTAAGACTTGCTTCCATATCATAACCTAACAATATTTCATTCATTGGAAGAGATCTCACTTTAAAGGAAACTATTTCTTTTAATGCCAACCTTTCCAGGAAACACTCAGCTTTCCTTCCTTTATTATGTTTTAATTTTATTTTGTGTGATTGTTTGCAGAAAACTAATAATAATTTTTAAAGTTTAGAAATAACTCTAAGATTTTAGGGTTAATTATTTTTTATTGTTGTTAACATCTCTATTAACATATGTGGCTTTGCTGACAGTAATTTTAAATCACCTCATTCCAGTATTTAATACTCTTGCTCTATGCAACAGATTTATAATATCCTTTAGTCAGGTCTGCAATGTTTTTCTTAAGTGCCTTTTTCCATAGTTGCTGTGACAAATAAGGTACCACATCATTAATCTAAAACAAGACAACCCAGGCCCATGGATTTTTTTACTGTTATTGTCATTGTTGATTTGGGTCCAAAACTGATCAAGATAAAGGGATCATAGTAAATTCCTTGTTTTGTTGAGTCTTATTTAGGTGTACTCCTCCTCAGAAGAAATAAAATCTATATCTTTATCACTTTGGGAATTGGGAGCAAGGTAAGAATGAAAAATGTGTGATGTCAGCTTCCAAATAGTCTTGTTATAATAATCATCTGTTGGAAATATCTCAGCTGCAACCTGAGGTTTCCATACCACGTTGATAAAAACTTTCTTTTCAGATAATAAGTACTAGATGCTAATTCTGTAGTACTAAAAGATTAAAGAGGTTGGCCAGAGCAACATAAAAATTACTTTCAATCAACCAAACAAACCTCTGTGTCCCAGTGCCCATGCACAAACACATGCAAATACACAGGCTTGGAGCCCATGGATGTTTTGACTGAGTTTTGTGTTGTCAGCACCTTCAGGCCAGGAATGCAGGTAGAAGAAGACACAGACAAAATGCTTTTCCTGTTGCCTCAGCATGCTAGGCAACATTTTGGTCTTCCACTTGGCCTAATAGAGAAATAAATGCTTTATATAGACATTGCGACTACCTACTACAGGGACTTCAGTTCATAAATCTAGTACTTACACACAATCCCAGGAATTTAATGTCCTGCACAGAGCTCTTGGTACCCATCACTGCAAATGGGACAAAAATTGTTGAGTCATCTCAGATTTTCTTTAAAACATGCAGTTACTATCTAGTTACCAGTGAGACAACATGAGGAGGAAAATATGATCCCAGTAGATTAGATCCTGCCGTTGTCTAGGGCATCAGCAGGAAGGCTGGGTTTCCAGCCCTTCTGATGTTTCCCTAAATGATTTTTCCTCTCTCAGGTACCAGGCTGTACACCACTTTTTAAATCAGTACCAATTCTTTTCCATAAGTGTTTGTATAGTAGATCTTTTTATTTAACTGTATTCCTGGCTTTAGGAAAAAACAACTTCAGTCAAATCTCTTTTCTCCTAGAGGGCTACTGGAATTTATAAAGTCAACAATTAAGTTTTTTTCAGGGCCAAAGATAAACCTCATATGCAAGCCATTAACACACCCAGACCAGCTTCCACAAGGTATTTGTGCATGTGTTTAATCTGAGGCTCTGAGACACAGAGGGGTTATCTGCAGTGTGAAGAATTAAGTCAAAGTTTGTATTAACAAAAGAAAACCACAACATTATGTAGGGAAATTATTTCTGTTATATGAGGTATAGAGTGCCCAATGTTTTAATAATTACTTAAAGAAACTCCTTGACTCCTTAAGATTTACCATCTTAATTTTGCAGATTTATGTGTCTATATGGAGTGTGAATCAGTATGAATATGGCTTAAATAAAAAAAAAAAACAACCCTCATCCACATGTGGAGGAGATAAGCAGCTGGGGAATTCTTTCTATTCTGCTGCTAAGGGATGACCTGGCAGCAAATAGCAAAAAAAAAGAGAAAGAAAGAATGAGTAGATGGTATGAAAGGGCAGGAAGATGGAGATGGTATGCAAGGGATAAAGAAAGTGTGCAAAGTAACAGATGAAATGGCTGCAAGGTAGCAGAGGCACCTATTGTGAGAAAGAGTAGGCAGATGGTGGACACCTAATAGTATTAATTAAGATGTGAAATTCGCAAGTTTCATGACAATTTTTTACTGTTAAAGATAAGGCATTTCTTCCCAGCCAACAGCAACAAGGAAAGGGCTTTGAGAGGACTCAGGCTATGGCAGGGCCTGCTTAGCAGGCAGGGATTTTAATCCTGACCTACAATCCATGCCTGAATTTGCAGGGATTATGCTTCTGTTCATTCAGGGTCCTTGGAAAGCAGCAATCTGTGTTCTGACCAAAAGGCTTGGCAGTATGAACCTCCCAGTACACTGGATCGCCAAAAATGTAGTGAGTAAAGGGACTTTCTCAAACCTGACCTTTTTTTGGGATTCCTGTAAAGGCTGTTCTCTATTGGGGAAAAAAATGAAGCAAAAAATTCTCTGACTTAAGGCATTAAAATGTTAGCTCAATTTTTTTGCATGCATCTAGAAATTCTAGGCAATAGATTTTTTTTCAAGTGTCTTCTATTTGTGTTTGGCATCCATAGAAATTTAATCAACTGCTTCCAATTTTAAAGCACAGATTATTGCAGATAGTTCCATCTACAAAGTCCTGGATTAAAGAGTGACGGGGGGGAAAAAAAAGAATGTTATTAAATTGAAAGCTTAAAATTTCACTCTAATCTCAAAGGATTTGGAAGTATATTTTGGTCCCCTTTGCACCAGTCTTTTGCTCCAGGTGTCAGAGCATTTAGATTAAAAACATCCAGAAGTAGTTTTGAGGACTCTTTCAGGTTCTTTGCTTTTTTAAGACTGACAGAAAACTTTAGAATAATTTTAACTGTGCAAAATGACAAGCCATTTGAGATAATAAATGCAAACCTTTGCTCTGTTAAGATATTATATGATGCACTTATTCTGTCAATAAATATTTTCTGATGTTTTTCTTTTCCTCTGTCATGATGTAGTTTGTTAGCCATGGTTGTGTTACACAAACTTCATTCTCTAAGTGCCTGTAATGATTTTTTAGTGAATCATCTGGGACTTGGTCTTACAAGATATTAATGTCTCTTTAAACTTGTTCTGGGAAGAAAAAACAAAACTCCCTGTCTTCAAGATAATTACTCCATGAGCAAATTTGATGAGTAAAAAAATTTAGTTCAGCAAGGAAATGACTCATAGTCCACGCCGCAAGTTATTAATTCTAAAATAAGTAATTAGTTCTGTTTCTGCTATTTGCTATAGTTGCACTTTCTGCCTTGGAGAGCTGTTGAACAAGGCCAAATTAGAAGTATGTAAAATATTATCATCTTGGTTCTTAGAATTATCTTAACTCTGTGCCCTCAAAACTGGTGCTGATTTTATCTCTGAGGGTAAAAGGAGAGATTTTTGGCAAGCTGCTGGAAATATTTAATGGAAAGTTAAGAAATTATTGCACCTGTAATTACCAGTGTGTCTAATACAAGCAATATTTATCAGGGGTCTGGCAAGGGCTTACCCACTAGCTCTTATATGGGGAGAAGTAAGTGCCACAGGGAAATAAATAGGGTTGAAAGCTTTTTGACCGGGAAAAAAAGTCCTTTTGGGGCTGCTAACAGGATCTAAATCTTTTCATTGCTGAAATCTACTTTTTGCCATGATCTGGGCAAATGCCTTGGTGCCTGAGAAACGTCTCTCAGCCTCCATTTAGGGAACACAAGCAGAGACCCAGGGGTGACAGCTGTGTCCCCTGCAGGCCATTCCCAAGCCACTGGCACGGATGTGGTTTCTCTGGTGGAAGATCCATTCCAACATATGTTATGGATCACACAATCCCTTGGGCTTTGGGGAGCTTGAACTGGAATCTTATCCAAATGTCTATTCAGCCCTAAAATGTTCCCATACAACCCAGGTCCTTGTGCAGGTATTTTCCAGTCATACTCCCATTTCCCCTAGTGTTTAACAAATGTTAAAAAGCCTTCCCTAAATAACAGACATGCGAATCATCCAAAGAGGTAGCGCCTTATGCTGTTTATTATGCAGTATTATGCAGCATTCCTGATGAATCATTCATTCCCTCTGTTTCATGTATGTCTTTAGATCTTGATAATGGCCAATCCTTCACTTGTTATTGCTAAGAAAAGAAATCAGATATGCTGGAAAAGCCACATAAATATTTACTTGTGCCTCTTGGTAATTGTGTACACACCATACTTTTTGCAGTTGCTATGGCTCTACTTCTTTTTCATGTGAAAGAGATTGAAAACTCTGGATGAAACCATATTGGGCTGGTTTTCAGACAAATTACTCAGCTGCCCTTTGGCTGCAGTTGCAGCATTCTCCCACCCCTCTGCTCCAGTTTAATTTCCAAATTTATGGATAAAATGCTGTTTAAAGCTTTGCTTTATCAAGGATGAAAGCAGCCAGGAGACAGCACACAGCAGTGGAGCCTTTGTGGCTGTATCTCTCTGTGGACATTTTGAAGCAGAGAGAGGAAGAGGACAAGAGAAGGCAAAGGTGAAGTCCATGAACAGCAGTGAAAAACTCATTGCCTTGCTGAATGGGAGGAAATGTGATTTCTGTTTTTTCTTTTTCAAAGGTAACACTAGTTTTTGTATTTACAATTATTTCATGTTTTCTTGAATGATTCATCAGTTAAATATTTTTGGCTCTGTACAGGAATGAACCAACAGTAGTGGGGATACAACATGGCCTTGAACGCCAGCAGGGGCTTCCCCTCCCCAAAACACACACACACTAAAAGAATGCTAAATTACCCCAAAGGGAATTACTATTAATACAAAAAGGGAGCAAAAGTCACCTCTAAGAAAAGTACCAATGAAATATTTGGGAAAAAAGGTTTATGCATAAAGGCAATGGAGACTTTATAGCTACACGTGGTATATGGGTTTTTCTGCACATGTCTGTGCAGGACATTGATGCATTCCAGAGCTGTGCTGAGTCACATGGGGAAAGAAAATCCACCTGCTGGTTGTCTGTGCCACCACCAACCCTCAGCAACTGGGACCTACTGTGCTACCAAACTCTCACTGCTTATTGTGAGTTTGGGCTCAGACCTGGCCTTCATAAACAGTGGATGTGAACAGAGCCTTCCAAGGGTGTGGGCACTGATATTTTAGGTTTTATACATTTTGCTTTACATCTACATGGAGGATGTATTTTTAATACGTTTTTAATAACAGTGAGTTGAAACAGTAAGCTCTTGCAAAACAAATGCTGCATCACATTCTCCTCTCATTTACAATGCTTAGTCTTGAAGGGAAATTTGACCCATCACATAATGTATATATTTACTTATTGTAGAACATTATACACTAGCCATTTGTGACCCATACATTTATTTTTCTGAAAGAAATAAAAAGAAAACCAATACTCAAAAGGGAAAGTAGCTTTGTCAGTGTTCAATTTACTGCTCAATTTTTCTTCCTTGCTTGCCAATTAACCTGGTACAACAGTGATCTGTGATCCAATAATGCTGCTCATTCAATTGATAGGCTTCAGTCCTTCACTTCTTGAAACTCATTTTTCCTTACCAGTTCACACCAGATAAAATCAGGCATCTGTGAGAAAACAGTGTTCAAAAGCTAAAAAAACCCCACAAAAACAGCTGCTACTAATTGCATTTCATCATTTCAAATCAGTTTCCAACTTAATTTCATTCTTTCCTGCCTTACTTGGATTCTTTCTAAGTGAGAGAGAACTCCTCACTTGGAGGAATTTAAATTGTTTTAACTGTGCCCATTTTGGATTTTTCACCTAATTTTCTACTCTAGCACCAAACACCTGGAATTAAATTAAATAATGCCCAAGCATTGCTGTATAACAAGGAGCTTGGGTTGCTGTTTAAGGGAAGCCACTTCAAGTTGCTATTAAGGTAACAGCTGCAAACAGAATGAAAGGCAAAATTACTGAAAGCTATTCACTGTGAACAAGTGTTCACGGCTCTAAGACAACACATCAAATCTGGAGCTGGCCTTGGGAAATGCTTTTGTAAGCTTTGAGTCGACATAAACACAGGCTGCCAGCTGAAGGAACAATCTTGTGACATCCTTACAAAACAACTCTGGGAAGCCCTGACAGCTCCTCCTGCCACAGATGCTGATGGAGGGAGAAGCCACTGGCTCTGGACCGCAGCAGCAAGGAAAGGGTTTTCTCTCCTAGGCACATCCTGCTCTCCAGAGGAAACTGATTTAATTTCACTGGTTTAAATGACTGCAAAAATAGCCATGATTTGATGCTGTTAATCAAGTTATACTAACTGGGCTGCAAATGGCTCCTATCACAAGATCCACTGTAATGACAGTTTCAAATAAAAAGCAAACAATCCCTGACACAGAGATCTGCCTGTGTGGGATCCACATGTGCTCAGAAATTCGGCAGAAACTTGGTTGGTAGCTGGCTGTGGATGAGGTTTATTACAGCAGTTATTTGAGCCTACTGCTAAGATAATGTGTTGTTGCAGCAGCACAGGCTCCTAGAGCTAATCCAAGGGCAAAGCCTGGAAAAGGGTGGTTATAGATGTTTCAGAAAGGTCTTGCAGCATGTCTTTATGTACCGTTTGTGAAAGAGAACATCACAGCTCTACAGAAAGTGCAGAATCTCCATACTCCAGTACGTACAACCCACACTGGCCCTCATATGCTCCTCTCTTGCCGCAGCTGTCAGAGCCCACATCCACAGCCAAAATTACACAGTCCTGGGACAGAGGGGTGCAGCCACCTACTTTTCAAGGCCACAATGTAATTTCCTTTTTTTAAGAAAAGGCTAGGCTTCCAGGTAAGTATTTTTAAGCACATTAGAAGTCACATTTCTAGATACAGAAGCCAAGTCCCTCTTCCTAATTTGAAAGCAAAATTTTTGTGTATTTTTAGGCTTGTCTGGCAACATTACTGTGGAACCAGCTCCTGGTAGAAACATTATTGTGACGGTGTTCACAGGGGTCTCAGACTGAGGGAAGAGATGAGGATTTGACTCCATGTTTCAGAAGGCTTGATTTATTACTTTATCATACACATTACATTAAAACTATACTAAAAGAATAGAAGAAAGGATTTCCTCAGAAGGCTAGCTAAGGATAAAATAAGAAGGAATGATAACAAAGGTTTATGGCTTGGACTCTGTCTGAGCCAGCTGTGCTGTGATTTGCCATTAATTAGAAACAATCAACATAGGCCAATCACAGATCCACCTGTTGCATTCCACAGCAGCAGATAATCAATGTTTACATTTTTTTCCTGAGGTTTCTCAGCTTCTCAGGAGGAAAAATCCTAAGGAAAGGATTTTTCATAAAAAGATGTCTGCGACGCATGATAAAGATAGAGCTCAGAGGTACAAGACTGGTGGGAAAAAAGTTACCTATGCAGCAGATAATTGCTAAAATAATGGTAAAAAAACCGCAAAAAGCCCCAAAGCAACAAAATAAAATAACAGCCATTCTTAAAAAGATTTTACAAGACTTTTTCCTACTACCTATTGGCTATGTGCATTAAAAAAAAATGTTTTGCTTTGTTTTGTACTGTTTTTATTTTAGCGATATTCTAATGTCATCTCTTAGCAGAGGGCTTTTTAGGCAGCTCCATCAATTCCAGTATTAGGATTTCAGCAGACAGTGTTACATCCCCTGGGGCAACTCAAAGGAAGTAGAGATGATGATGATAATTAACCTACTGATGAGACTGGTTTTTTGAAAAACAAACAAACAAACAAACAAACATAACCCAATCCAGATATTATGGCCATTAATACCCACAAAACTTTCCATGAGAGCAGAGCAGTTCGGACCTATGTCCTGCCTCTCACTATTGTCCCATCCATATTCACAGCTGTGGTCATCTGAAATAGCTTGCGTTTGGTGAGGATGGTTCTTTTCCTTGCACAGGTTTCTTTCCCCTGCTACCTGTGTCACATACACGTGTGTCATGAATGAGTGCAACTAGCAAGGAAAAGAAACCTGCGCTCTCAACCTGTTAATGCTACCACCATCCTTATCCGAGAGACATCTGAACATGCTGTGTCCTGTCTCTTCCCTCACCTCTCCCATCACCCTCCAGAGACCTGCAGCTGCTGCTTGTTTCTGTCTCTCCTGCCAGGTGCATGAGCAAGCTACATGCAGGAGAAACAGTCTGAGATCCTGCAGTTGAGGGTCTGAGGAGGATGCACAGTCCCATCTCCTCCAGAGCCCCTCTGCTCTTCCATCTTTGCAGTGTGCTGAATTCTCCCAGGACAGTTCCTGATGCACCAGGAATACAAACACATGAAAAGCAAGATGTGGAGAGACATTCAGACAGCTTCCCTCTTCCTTCCAAATTTCTTCTTATTTTATAAGGATTTAGCAGTGCGCCGAGTCTCATTAATGTCACAAAGAGTCGAACAGTAATGCTCTATACTGATATTATTTAAATAGCCAAATTTCTCCCTTTTAAAGCTTTTTAAAATTACTTACTTTTAGAATTTTTATTTCTGTTCTTCTTTTCTCTTTTTCTTTTTATTTTTTTTTCAAAATGACTACACACTATGAACCAAGGTATCCTGAAGGGCAATTGCTTAAACTGCAGCTCTTCAGGAAGCTCTCTAAGAGCACAGAGGAGCATAGGCTGCCCAACGGTGCGATCCTGCCAGGGTAGGCACAGGAAGGCACAGTGCAATCCTGCCAAGGTGCCACAGTTCAACGGAGTGCAGAGAATAACAAGACTGATATCTAGAAAACTTGATTGGCAAGGGAAGTTTGAAGACAAAGGCCATAAGCCAAAAGTGTGACCATGATAACTGTCCAAATACCATCACTGCTACTGCAAAGAGGGTATCCCTGTGCACAGAAGAAAAAACAGTTCAAGGTGCAGCAAGGAATGGTCAGGTAGTACAAGCAAAAAACCTCAGCAACTCTTTCAGGGTGAAGGGATGATGTTCTTCAGCAGTGTTTGGAAAGGCTTTGGAATGATGGAGGTCTTCTAGGAAAAACCTGCTTTGCATTATCCAGTTTTGGTTTTAGAGCAGGGAACTAGAGTAGATAAATGAGATTTCTATCTTACCACCCTGCCTAGCAGTCTTAAAGTAGAACTTTCATGTGCTCTGACTGCATTGCCTTTGCAGTGGAATGCAGAAAGACCATTTCTGTGTTGGTCTTGTTTATCTGTAGCAGAAAGCCAAATTTTAAATGAAACAGTATGCATAGTTATAGTGATCTTTTATATAGGCAATAAAATGCTTTGGCTAAGAGAAAAATATTGTATTTCACATGAGAGTCTGTCCCAGGAAAGCATAGATTGGATCAGCTTAGCTCTTTAGTTTGGCTAGGGAAAAATTATTTCATTTCAGTTGCATCTCTCCTCCATCTCTGACAGATCTATCAAAACACTGGATTTACCTGTTCAAGTTTCCAGCCACTGTAGGTTCAGTTTCAAATGGAAAAGTGTGGCTGGCATGCAGAACTCTGCTACTAGGAAAAAAAAAAATCTCAAAGCCTGCCAGCTATTTTAAAGGTCATTACATGACAGAAGCACATCCATGACAGGCTCTTCATGCAAACTGCTGAACTGGGTTATAATCCATACATGAGACCAGCTACTTAATTTTAAGATTTCCAGAGCAACCACTTGCAATACTGGAGTGGTTACTAAATTTAAAGTGGTTAAAATGTGAGTTAGGACAATTCCTATGTTAGCCTCAAAGGGGTAAAGGTACAACAAAGAAGCACTGCTGGTTTGAGATGATTTTCCTTGCTAATGACAGAAGCAGCTCATGGGATACAGCCTGGCTTAGGTGTTACTGTTTCCAGGGCTTGCAATTCTTATGCAGTTCTCTGTTTCTCCAAAATATGCAGTTGAATGGAATGTAGCTGGTTTGCCCATTTCTCAGTACACACTCCTCATCTAAAGAGACATGGAGGTTGTTAGTGATATGTTTGCAAATTCTTGGAGGTATTTCTAAAAGCTGTTAAAAGAAGCAACCCACCCAGATCCAGCCTTCAACATCTGTTTGGGGAGGAAAAAAAAGGAGCTGTCTGAAAAATCCACAAGCCAGGCTAAATGACATGGTAGGATTAGAGTCAATCTTGATGATCAGTCATGAAGCCAAATGTCTAAAGAAAATATTTTAACAGATACATGAGCCACTTTATTACAATAAATAATTTCCAGGATTCTAAAATTGCAGGGAAATTAATCCTAGACACAAAGTACTATAATTTGGGTGGACAGAACAGTGTAACCCTTCTAAAAATTACATTTTTCTTCACTGAATGTATATTTGCAAGACATATCTATCAAGACATAATATTGCATCATAGTAATCATCAAGAATGTAATCTGTCAACTTATGTTTTAGAACAGAAAACAACTCCCTTGGGAGCCACAAGATGCACTTTTTTGGGATAACTGAAAATACTGGGGAAACCAGGTAGGCTTAAGCGTACATGGACACAAGTATTACGTGTCCTCCAGCAACATGGTTAAAGAGTTGCTTGTGAGAAATAGGTTTTCTTGGTATGTCAGACTAAAGAGTGTGCAGAGCATTAGAGAACTATACACACACACACATTAGTTTTGCAATTGCTACTTACAATCCTAAAAAGTAGCTGAGCATTTAAATAGAAAAATCTGTTTACTGTCACTATGTTATCTTCGTATGTTATTTTGAAAAAAAACCAGTATTTTTTGTATGGTCTCTGTTAACCATTGGGAATCAACTCTCTTGTCTGTACAAGGACTATGGTAACAAGGTGTTTTCATCTGCATGTTTTAGATTTTAAAATATAAAGTTCAAAAGAGAAAAAAAAAAATCCAAATAAGTAGCCTCACATAATTTCACGTAAGTTTAGGAATATGCTTAAAAACTGTCCATGCACGAGCCCAGATGCACTGCTGGGTGATGTGTATACAAGTGGAATTGATGGACCTTTTGTGTCAATTCAAAAATAGGTTGAGTGTGTTGAATGCTGCCTTGCCTCTCTCCCTGCCTGGGCCTCGATCACGCCTTAGAGAATAAAACATTTCAGCCATCCTGCAGGGATCACAGGCAGTCAAATGTTTTGAGAGAGAAGCACATTTCAGTACAATTTGCCTTGGAGCCAGAGGTTCTTTAGGCAAATTCTACCACTCAAATCTTGAAGAAAACTAAAAGAGGCAAGCAGCTGGATTGCTATCAAGACCATTTCTGAAATGAGAGTGATGGGAAAATAATTCAGGCACAACAGTGCAAGCTTTCACAAAAAGATCTGCAATACCTGGGACCCAGGCAGCAAGGAAGAGTCACCAGCTACCTGCAATCTGAAATGTATTTAAGTATCTATACTTATTTGTATAGTTAAATAAATAAATAAATAAATTTATAAATCTTTTATATTCAAAATCAGGAGGGCTCACGTGCCACAAAACACAGAGCTGGGAAAGCTCAGTGTGTCTGCTCACCCCTGAGCAGCAGGGATGATAGAAAGGTGCTGTCATGAGGGGATGGATGTGAGCTGGCAAGTGGGGATTTCCATGCACTGCTGGAAACCTCTCTTTTCAAGCACAAAGGGGAAGATGTGCTCCATCTCCCAAAGGTATGTCCACAGAAACAGATCCTAAAGCAAAATCTCAAAGTGGCTGTGAACTTTTGTGCAAAGGCAGATTCAAAGATGCTCTATTACCTAAGCCAGAATTTGTAAACTAAAACAATCTTATTTATGCAGTATGCTGGTCTCAGTGTTACTATTGCCCCCCTTCCCCTTCTTCCTTTGTTAAAAACTTAGGTTTTCCATGTTTCAAAGAGAATTTATCTGTTTTCTGTCTTGATGCTTTTCAAAACAAATTCAATCCTCTTTTAGTTGGCTGGAGAAAGCGTGGGATTACTATAGAAAGGAAGAATCACTGAAAACCCTCTTGACTGATCAACTCAGACTGACAGGGTGTAATTACAGACACATTGTAGACACATAAGGCATAATCTTAAAATTAACTTCAGAATTTAACCTGTCCTACGCTTGCATCTCAGTAACATTTTAAAAAATCCTTTTTATTTATATGCTGACACACTCAGAGTATGAAAGTTGTCTTTTAAAGCTTGGTGTCTGCTTGCAGCCGTATATTGTTCTTGCATACAAAATCTTTTTGCTGACATTTAACATGCACACTGCAGGCCTGCAGCAGCTTACAAGGCTGAGGGCACAGAGCTGCCCCCTCCCTGGGGGTCACTCTGTACCCACAATATTTCAGTGCCCACCCCCTTCCTTAGAGACAGCCTGCAGCCCCAGGAGCAAAAACACACCATTTATCCCCCACACCATTCCCTGATGCATCCATCTTCTCCTTTCCCTCCTTAATGCAATACTATCCCTCTCCCACACAGCCTCTCTCCAGACTTGGAAAGGCAAAAGTACAGACAAGGACTATGGCAAGGTGATGTTCTTGGGAGGGCAGGGGAGGATCCTACCCTATGTCACCAGTCCCTGTACTTTCCTGGAAAACAACTTACCTGTCTCCAGCTACCACTTTAACTCTGAAAGACCGGCTCAGATTGCGTAGGATGTGCCCTCATGGGTGCACTTAGTGGTAGGAGATCTCTGCTTCCAACAGAGTGGGACAGTGCTTTGGCAGGACCTGCAGGACCTCTTAAAAGGATGGTTACTTTATAATTTTATTATATTGAGGTAAATGGAGAAATCTCTTCTGTCATTGCAATGGGCCACAACAAAGTAGTAATTGACGTAGACTCTCAAGACATTTACAGAAGGCTGATCATTTTTATCAAGAAACCCATACTTTTATACCCTAGTTTGCTAAAAGTGGACCTAACTGGTCCTCCAATCAAAACACCATCACCATTGGCTAATTAAGAAACCAAACCACCCTTTGGTAAATGAATCTCCGTAACACATTCCACATATTCCCAATACCAGGTGCAGCAAGTCAAGAATTGTTTCTCATTCTTTTCTCTGATCTTCTCACAGCCTTTCCCAGAATGATGCCTGGGAAAGCTGTCTGTTTCTCTCTGTGGCCAGAGAGCTGCTGCCACACTCTTCCATCATAATAAACTATATTATGAAAATATGGCTCAAACTTGGCCATGTTTCCACCATGAGCATTTTAATGCAGGTGCTTTACACTGCTGTGCAGAGTGGGCATTCACCAACCCTCCCACAGGTTCTCCAGCACCATCAGACTACAGGTTTGCTCTCTTTAGTCCTTGCAGTGGATGGCACTTTTCTTCACTTGTTTCAGTTTCTGTTTCTGGTCTACTGCCTTTGCTAACTCTCAAAGGCTATTTTTACAGCTCTAATTGCATGTCTTGGGCAATGAAGCAAGCATTGGAATTCTGCTGCCCATATCACTTGCAGAGTTTAATTAAGGGAAGAGGTGGTGAAGCTTTAGAATCCAAGATCTGGAGCAGAAAAAACAGCAGTGCTGTCTGCTTTTAAGTCTGTATAGCCTCTCTCCTTCTGTAGTCCCATCTCTGAAATTCTTATTTCAATCCTTCATTACCACTCCAGTGTCTGCCACTTCCCACACTGCTCACAGCACTAGCAGTATATTACACATGGAAAAAAGATTTTCTATTTTAATAAAATTTCTGCTATATTTCAGGTCCTGGAAGGTCTGAATCACTAACTCAGTGTATTATCTTTATGTCACTGACACTACTCCTACCACAACAAGTTTCAAGGCATTAAGAATTATTGGGATGTTTTTCCTTCCCCATGCAGAGGAGGTTATCTGAGCATGCAGCTCTTATTCTGGGATGAGAGATGGTGAAGGAGGGACAGGAGCAAGTGTTCATGTCACAAAGACAAAACAATGTCAGCCATGGCCACAGACATTTCATGAGCTAGGTGCTGTCTGCCCCCAGTAAGTAGTACCCCATAGTATCAAAGCAAATCGGAAGCCAATCTTCCTTTCCCTCTCTTTTACCCCCATCCCAGAACAGCTTTTGCTCTTGACTTTCCTGCTTGTTTTTAGGGCAAGTCACTAGCCTTTGCAGCTGCCTTACTAAATCTTAAGACTGGAAGTTCAGGTAGCAAGCCTGACTGTGCAACCAGCCTGAAAGGCTAAGGTGGCCCCCAGGATCTTAGAAGACAACTTAGAGGTTTAGTTCCCACCATCCAAGCTTTCATCTGTGGCAACACCAGCATCAATCCAGAAGCCATCAACTCAAGCTATAGTATATTTACAGCTAAAATTTTTAAATAAAGCCAATTAAAATTAATGAACAAATGAACAAAGGAGTGGAGTAGGAGGCAATGCTAACTCCAAACATTTAAAAAAAGTCCATTCTCCAGAATGAGTTGGATTTTTTTCAAACCTCTGCAATAAGCTTAATTCAGGTTCTCCAGGTGCTTACCACTCCTTAAGGCACTCACAGCTTAAGGAGGAGCTACGAAGGCCACATGTGGCCAGAGGTGCCAGCTTTTCAAGAAGTCAGCACACTGGTCAATAAGAACTTGGATAAGGGACATATCAGCTGTCTGAAATCTGTCCTCCTCTCATGAAAAATGCAGGGGAAGGAGACAGTTTCTTCTTTCTGCAGATGGGAGCACTCCTTTCCACCCACTCTTCCCTACAGCTTGTATTGAAAAGTGGTTAGTCATAGCAGGACACAGACACGTTCGTGCCTGGATGAGGATACTCAGATGATAACAAGAACATGTTCTTGTCTGCAGGCCAGGAGACAACCACGTGGTTGCCTTGCAAGCCAGATTTTATAATTCCTTTGTGCTAGGGAGAGCAAGTCACTTGTTTAGCCTTAGTCAGCATCTGGGGAAATACACTGGTTTTACTTCCCACAGTGAACAAACTTGTGCATGCCTTTCCCCCAAGCTTCCTTTTTGTCCAGGCTTCTGTTTACTCACAGGATAACAAATCACACACACATTCAGAGCTGTTGGCCATGACATCTACAGAAAACTAACCAAAATCAGGACAAGGGGTGCGGACATGGATGAAGCTAATGCAGAAAGCCAATTATTCTCTGGTAGGAGCATGTACCTGGCAAGGAGAAAACCCTCACCCTGAGGTCTGGCCCCTTGAAACATGTGATGTTGTAAACATTCATTTGCAATTCAGTGAGTAGCAGCTCATCATCTCAATTTCAGTAAGACACTAATGAGCTGGTCTAAATATATTTACTTGTTTGGTTATGATTCTCCTCTGAAAATGCTGTCCTTGAGAAGACATGCACAACACAGTGGTAAGAAGTCAAGCATTCTCTGCATTTGGCAAGACACAGCACACAGGCAGGGTAGGAAAAACCATGGTGAGCCTTTCTGGGGATGCAGTTACTGACCCAGTCCAGGTCTTCATGCTCAAATAGTGAGGAAACACAGCAATTTGCTGAGCCTTACCCATTTTTAATCCAGAAATTTGGGATGCAACTGAGAGCTCATCATAAGGGTGAGATATAAAATTGATGCCCCCTTTGTCCTGCCCTGGGGCATTGCAAATCCTGCAGTGCCAGGTGATGGCACTGTGACAAGAGGGTTCTGGGCTCCCCCAAGTGCAGCCCTGTCCCCCACCCACCCTTCCACCCAAAACCCTTCCAAGGAAGGCCTTTATGGTCCTGGGGCAGTCCCTGAGCCCAGGAGGCTCAGGGGGCAGCTCCTACCCGTGGCTGCCATACACTGGGCACAGCTGAAAACAGCTGGGAATGGTAAAGAGATGAAATTACTGATGGGGTCTATTCAGATACATAAAAGAAACTATTAAAAAAATCCTCTAGCACACTCTTGGTATTTAACTGGTTACAAAACTGGCACAATGAGGGCAGAAAGCTGTGAATGGGGCACTTAGGGACATGGATGGGCAGTGGAGGTGGCAGTGTTAGGTCGAGTTGGACTCTATGATCTTAGATGACTTTTCCAATCTAAATCATTCTATGATTCTATAAAAATCATTCCCATATGCAGCAGACTCATCAATCAGTGTCAGGACCTGAACACATTTTTCCCCTCTCAGACTATATTATTGTGCTCAACATCTTAATGAGTATGAAACTGGCAACAAGATATTTACTTTGATCAAGGTGTTTATTGCATCTCAGAGGGCACACATGCACTGGGGTTTTTTGTTTTTTGGGTTTTTTTTTTTGTTTGGGATTTTTTTTAACTGAAATACAAAGAAAAGCCATTTTGAAATTAACTTTTTATAGAACTTTCCCATTACAGTGTATGTTATCCCCACAGCAAATTCAGATACAACCACTTTTAATGGTACCATACATTGATTAAATAGTTCATTTGAAAGACTTTAGGTGAATATCTTTCCAACCCAATATGCTTTTACAGAGAACTGCCAAGCCACTTGTAACACTGATCAACAGTGACCTCATTGAAGAGTCAAGATCTTACACCAAGCCATCAGCAGAAACAGTATGAGAACAAATAAAAATCAAAGGAACACAGTATGTACAGTAAAGGGCATGGATCTCCGGATCAGAATTAAATCTAATCACCAATAGTACAAAAGCTACTCACAGCGCATTCGGGGCAATGAGAAAACACTATCCTAAGGCATACACAGGTAAGCACTAAATTAAGAGATGTACAGAAGAACTGAACAGAGATGAGTAACATCACTTGTAATGTTTTGACTACAGATATACCAAAAAGTGCTCTCGTATTTGAAATCCCTTACTGCCAGCACAACTAGCGTTGCTTTTTCCCAACTACATGGAGAGAAACTGACCCTTTACTTATTTTCAGTGCGTTTAGCAAGAACTGATAAATATGCCAATTATAAATGCAAAAACTTAAAGAATTAAAATAGATTTAAAATTAAAAACAGCAATAAATATGGTGTTCTTTCAGATATGGTTTTTCATTCTTGGTAAATCATTGAAAAAGTATTTGTTATGGAAGTTTTCCTTTATATTACTTTAAATTATTTTAACATATACAGTGCCACAAAAATAAAACATTTTTTTCACGACAATTGAGATTCCTGTGACTGGAAAAAAAAAGATATTTTGCACAATTTTGTAAGTATTTTCTTTAATATCTGATATTATCACACTATGTTTTTTAACAGATAAAGGAGAAATTGAGTCCTAGGGAAACTTTGGGTGTCCTCAAAAAGTTATATACATTGAAACCTTCAAAAACCACAGACATTGCTCCAAATGGCTCACCAAACAACAGCTGCATAATCTGCCCCTGTGGGATAGGTTCAGAAAAGCACTAGAAGGCATCAGAAACATACATCCATTGTTTAAATTGTAAAACACAAATAACCCAAGTACACAAATTTCGAGAGAGTAGGGATAACAGCTAAGGTAGTACACATTCCTAATGTTCACTTTCACAGCTGTGCTACACGTTTCAGGAGGAAGAGAAAGTCTGAGTAAGCACTGGGTTTGGTACTGGTGGCTCACTGAGAAACTCTGAGCGTCCATTTGTAGTCTCCAAACTCACGTTTTTAGCATCCAGTCAGAAAAAACGCAGCTGTGAATATAGAAAAGCATTAGATGAAAACTGGTATAATGAGTTAGTAAAGCATGTTCTACAAAGAGCATGAAATCTGCTCATCTCTCCACATCTCAAAGGATTTACCATCAGATTCTAGTGAAGTAGCAGTCTTCCCACAGCCAGTTATGAATCTCTCTATTATAAATACAAGTTGAAAGCAGTGAGTCCCAGCAGTGGTGTATCTCCACCCCTGGCTGTCTCTGCCAAGTGCCAGGTACACCTCTCTGGGGCTGGAATTGGAAGGGTGAAGTGGAACTGGGAGATGCCTGCTAAGAGCAGCCTGAATCACTGCTGCCAGCTCCAGTGCAGAGTGGGCTCAGAACAAATTTTAGAATTAAGCTCTAGGAAGGAACAGAAGTGACTCATGAAGAAGGCTTTAAAGTTATGTAATCATTGTCCTCTCCTCACCTTATTCTAGACTCATTATTCTAGACTTAATTATAAAATGCATACCTTATTTCTGCATTATTATTTTTTAATTGGCTTAAGCGTTAATTCAATTTTATATTCCTACTTGGCCTTCCAGAACCATCAGAATAATGTTTTGGCCTTTTCCTTCCATTATGCAGTACTGTCTTTTGCTTCTCCTCCATTTTTCTTTGCATTTACTCCTCTGTTCCTCCCCATTACTGCTCCACACAGCACTGCTCAGGACCTCACAGCCTTACCATTCAGAAAAGCAGTGCCTTGAAAAATTGTATGGCAGGGTAGAACATTAGCTGACAGCAGTGAAGAGCTGCAAACAACTTCCCCTTGATGACAAGAACATGTAAGTTTTTCCCCTTTTGACACCTTCACACCTATGATACCGAATCTGTTTCAACACCCACAAGAGTGGAAAAGGCCTCTTCATACCATCTGCCCCTCAGTATTTGTACACTGCTATCATTCTACATGTTTCAGTAATAACTTCAAGAAAACACCCAAACATGAATGCTCGGACTGAGTGGAAACAAGGAAAAAATGGAAGTTATGCATTAAAGATACTTTTTTTTTTGCCAAAAACAACTGTCAGAAAAAGTTTATCTGTGAGTCAAGATTTCAGGCTAAAGTTAAGAGTGTGGACAGAGAATTTGGTTTTCGATACAGTGCATGTTTCTAGCTCTGCAGCTGCGATTTTATCTTTTATATTCAACCTAAACAACATCTGTGTGCCAGACATGTACCAGAGAGTGACATGCTGGAGCAGGCAGCCACAGAATACCTTATCGTTTACAAGAAATCCTTGATGTTAAGATCCGCTAATGGGTCCTTTGTTGGAGGTTTCTTGGGGCTCTGAGTAGCAGGAGTTGGGCTTGGAGAAAGCTGACAGACGCCAGCCAGAAAGGCAGGAGAAAAACAAAGCAGACAAGAATACACAAGCGTTAGATAGACACAGGCAGTTCTCACACAAGCACACTGCAAGCATAAAAAGTTCTCATTTGTCTGCAAGTCCAGCCGTTTTGCTCAAGCATTGCTTGGATTCCATCCTCACTACAGGGTTAACAATGTTTGGCAGGTTTAGTGGCTAGGGCTATAAATACTGCAGATTCTAATTAGCATAGCTTGAGATCTCTCCCTCCCTGCAAACCAGGGAGGCGTTAGAACCTTCAACCCAGACAGAAGAGACAATTGTTAGATGCTAAAAACCAAGGCTCAGAGCAAGCAGAGTGCATCTTCCAGGGTACTGAAATTCCCTGTCACTGGCAGTTAAGTACAAATTATTTGACATTGGTAATGTAAATAAGAGTCCAAAACAAACTGGAAATATGACTGGATCACACTAGGTTCCTCCTTTGGCAGGTATAAAAATGGTCATTCAATAGAAAACATCAGTTTTGAAGTTCCATGCAAAACTTCTGATTATGGTGGTCAAATCATTCTCCCACTCTGACCTCACTCCTCCCCATTCCTACCTCAACTCAGGGCACAAGAGGTATTTTGTATGTAGCCCTGGCACCTTGATGACCCCTTTTTCAGAAAAAAAATTCTGATTCCCATCACGGTATTCTTGGTAAGCACAGAGATAGTTTAAAGCGGGAGGAAAAGCAAGACTAAGTATATTCTTACAGCAATTTCAAGTTCTTTCTGTTTTTTCCATTTTTACATAGAAAACCTTGACAAGCTTCATTGGGAATGTAGTTCCCTACATAAAAATGGTGGTTTGCTATATGTTGATTGCTTAGTATTTGCAAAACAAGGGCAGCCTGGTTTCCAGGGTTACCAATGAGATTTTACAGCTGCAGCATCAATTTCCATCTCCCTCCTTATTTGAAAGGCAAGATGGACTTCTGACTCACAAAAAGAAAAATACTACAGCTAAATAATTTCCTGCATCTCCTCTGGAAAGGTTCTTTCTTTTCAGTATTATTACAAACCAAACTCTAGTTGAAGTAACAGCCTGGGACAGGTGTTACAGCTTATGCTGCATCACCTGCTGAGCGTAGCTATAGTAAATTTTGGTAGACTGTGAACAGAATAGCAGTGCCTGAGAGTTCCACTTGCAGCTTAATTCAAATATCCTCCAAAACCAGATCTTGGATGCAGTTATCTGTAGGAGACTTTTCAAACCTGTTCCATTGGTCTCATACAAGGCAACTTCAAAAAAATCCAGGTGGTTCATGTGATTTGCTGCAAGGCAGGCAGCTGATCCTTGGCCCAGAGCTAGGGCTGAGCTGAGCTAATGCACGCACACACGAGGAGCTGCTTTCTAGAGGCATGGAGAGCATGAAGCATTGGTGTAGAGCGATTCTCACCTGTACACCAGGGCCAGCGGCGGCTCCAAACGGGGGCCTCATCATGGGCTGCCCGTACATCACCGGCTGCTGGGGCATCATGGGCACCCCTGCACCTGCTGGGGGCTGCAAACCAACACCAAGTCAGCAGGGGCCGGGCGAGGGAGGGACAGCGGTGTAGCAAAAGAGACTCACCATCCCAAATGCTGCTCCTGGCTGTGGGACAGGTGGAGTACCTCCTGCTGCAGGAACAGCACTTGCTGGAGGCACAGCTCCCGCCTAAAAAATAAAAAAAAAAAGGGCAAAAAAGCACAAAAATCTAACAGCAACCATCTGGAAATCACACAGAGTCTCCAGCATTCTCAAAGCTGCTCTGGAAAGTAGGACTGTTATGCAGCACATATGCAGCCTCAAAACCACAATGCTTCAAGGAATGAGAGAGCTGAATGAGTCCTTATGCTCAGCTTCTTCCTTCATGAGAAAGCAATGGTGACAGACTCCATTCTCCTCATGAACATAGCCCATTTACTGATTAGAACTCAAAATAGGCCCAAGAGGACAGAGTTTCCTTCTCCTTCTCATAGCGTAAGAAAGCACCCAAATTTCTTAACAACTAACACACTATGACACTTATTGTAGCACTGTATTTTAGTAAAAGCTTAAGCAGATTGTAAAGCTAAAGGAAATAGCTGCTATAATTAGTTTACAGTGAAGAAAAAATAATTATGCACCAAGAATCATTGAAGTTAAAGGATAAGTTAATACACTTAAACCACAATCAGAACCATTACTAAGGGCAGTTTAGTTTGTCTAGCTATGATTTTCATTCATATTGGTATGATTTTAGTTCAAATAATAAAAGGCAAAACAAAGGTTATCTTCCACTACAATTCAGGGAGAACTGTTAGTTTAGTAGTCTGACTGGATATACAGCACAAGAGCACCTTTAAAAAGGCCACCCCACCTCACTTATTTAGCACAGCCTACACATCATCCCTTTTGGCTGCCTTCCATGTAACTCCCATGCAGTGTCTCCTTATAGCCTTGAAGGCATCTAAACCTTTCCTTTTCACAGATATATACAATCCAAATTATTAACAGCTCTGAGGAGAGGCAGAAAGTATTCAAGGAAGGGATGTAAAAAGGGCAGTAGGATTTCATTACTACTCTTGCATGGCCTAAGCACACTGACACCATTTCCCAAGCTGTTACAGGAGCTGTATGGTCTGTGCCTCCACATCTTTACCACCCACCTCGAGTCAGTAACACCCCACAGCACTTGGAGAGCAGCTAGCACACTTACAGCTCAAAGGAGAGTGTGTCTCTGCAGATATGCTGGAACTGTACAGTCCACTTCTGAGAATGCTGCATTTTAGTGCCCTTGGTTGGTCCTTGCTTCCAGGCTAAAACATGCCAGTTTCTTAAGAAGCTGGAGACAAGTCAAGATAACCTGTCCCAGACTTATTTATCCAAACTACTACATTTTCTGGCTAAGAATTTATGAACTCTATTCCAGTCTGAAAGTTTCAGGGGAGCATTTCAGTTAAAAACTGTACTGTGCTAGCAGAGTCTCCAAACTAAAATCAAGATCTGGACAATCAGGTATGTAAAGCAAGACACTAAACCACACAGGTTAATGACATCAGATGCAGTTGGATCACTTTTACAGGAACACACTGTAGCTCAACATCCAGTCAGGCAGATGCCAAGAAAATGGCCATACAAACTGAATCTGCTCCTGCCTCTAAGCACAAGGTCACTTGAGGGGATGGGGTTTGATGTAATTCTGCTGATTTTAATCCTGGAATTGAAAGTTCACAAGAAAGGGAAGAAGTGACCAAAACTTAAAAGGTTCAATAGTGACACGAATAAAAGCTTCATTTTTTCATTCATATTTATTTTGCCTGCAGACCCGGGTTACTTTGCTTTCAAAAAGTACCTAAGTGCATGATTCTGAAGAAATATATACAACACAAATGTTTCATGAAATGCTACCAAAACTACCCAGCTTCCCAGAAACACCAATTACTTCTCAGATGGTAAAATCACTACAAGATCAGACTGATGCTGCAGAAGCTCAAAATTTCAGGCAGTACAAATCATCAGGTAGTTCACATCAAAGTAAAGCAGTAAAGAGATAATTTTCAAGCTTACAGCACAGAAATGGTTCATCACTACTGCCATATTCAACCCACTGGCTGAGAATTGTCTGTTGGACAGACAGCCCAAGAGGAGCCGTGTTAGAAGCTTCTAGCTAGTTTTAAGCCAGCAGTAGTAACTGCAGTGCAGGTGAGTGCTGTTAGTATCTTCATGTTTAGTAAGTGCAGTAAGAGGTCAAAAAAAAATTCACTTACACTGTACAGTATTGCCCAGCCTTTCTATCAAGAAAAAAAGTTGGTGTTACAACTAACACATTAAGTGAAGTACAGAGAATTCTTGTGTCTTCCATAACATTATGGAACGTGCTCAGAGTCATGTCAACACCTGGCTGTGGCAGCAAGGAACTGAACTGGTCCTGGTCCCCTTTCAGAGCTCTTCTTTCCTTTGCCAACCCAACCTTGTTCAAATGGAGGCTGTTTTAAGCCTTGTGAGACATTTGATGAGATGAGGTATTACTCCTCAGAATACTTTTGTAGCTCACTCATTATCAAGTTGCTCTTGTTCCAAGTTTAGATTTTTAGCTCAATTTGACCCTCTTCTCTCAAAATTAGTGCCTTCTGACACTTTTTACAGGGTAATCTTACCTTTTCCAACTGTTTTACCCTGCTAAATAAGCTACCCACTCCCGATCTAACATCAGGTCCTTGATCAGTATGAATACTATGTAGTCTTTTGATCTACTTCATCCAGTAAAACTCGAGGAAAACTAGGTACTTTCTCTCCTTATAGTACATCAGCTTTGGATCAATAGTGTTTTATTTTGGGCACTTGTCCTGGGCCTGATCCTGGCCAGATCTACATGGCTAATCACACACTTGGAAATGCCCACAGGTACTAAATGTACAGGTAGAGCAATACCTTGATACACAAGCTAGTGTATTTTTAATTTACTACTCAATGGTTTATTTATACCCACTGTAAATGGGTTTTTAAAAAATGAGACTTGAAATACTCATATAATTTACACAGAGGCAAACTCTTTAGCCTCAGTAAGTGGAGCAGTCCCTACAGGTATGCTTGCACAGCCTCATCAAATATTGGAAGCCCAAAACCAGTGCTGTCTATGGATTAGCCACCTACCAAAGGACCACCTGGGACACCACCAGTTGACCATGTTGCAGGTGCTACTTTTGGCTGCCAGTTGGCTCCTCCTGTTAACTTTTTCTCTCCAGCATTCCACTGCAGGTCTCCCCTAACAGAGAGGGAGAGAGGCAGGCTATTATTTGCACACTTCCACAGCGAAAATGAAAAGCAGTTACAGCACACATTAGCATTAGACGTGCAGCTACATTAGCTTATGGTGTATGCAGTTATTAACAGAAAGATTTACTTTTAGTGACGCTCAGTTTCAAGGGTTGTTAGCAGTAGACACCAGAACACTCTAAGCTGAAGTCAGTTACATGGTTATGGCCTTTGTGTTGAGAATTAAAGAGAAGTTTTACTTAGTATTGACTGAAGGTAACATATCACATATACCCTTGCAAAGTAGGAAGAGGGACTGCTACTGCCTATTCTACTGGGGCCAGGCAGGAGAGCTGCCTGCTAGATGTCTTTGAAAGGCCATTTCAGTGCTGGAAATCTTGCTCAGACAGCTGAAGAAGGAAAGCATTCAGTTCTGCAAAAAGTTGATAGATACAAGAGAAACAAATCATTCATAGAATAAAAGGGCTGTCAACAAAACAGGTTTTGTTACAAGCTGCCCTACCAGAATAAAATACACCATTTGAACAAAGCAGATTGAAGTAAGCTACATTTTGAGGCTAAACCTCATGATACGTTTGTGCACATCCCTCCTATCATCTCCACAGAGACACAAAACATTTTGAAGTTTTGCATACAGAGGAAGGCTCAGGGCACAAGCAAGCAGTTAGATTAGGAAGATAAAAACACAAACACAATGTTGTAACTATTTCTTTTTGCAAAAAGAAAGTTATCGCTGCATGGAATGAACCTCTTTTCTATTCTGGAAGTATTTCAATGCCTACACAATAAGTACATCCAGCATCTGTAAAAATATAACACATCTATTATATATTAGCATAGATTACTGAGGGGAGCTATAAAAGTATATATTATCTGGACTATTTGTTCATTATAAGCTGTTTGGAAATCAGTTATCCAACATGAAAACAGTAATTTACAGGAGAAAATATTTCTAACACTCAGATTCAAGACAGCAGTTTTGTAAGCTATATCAGGAACAGTGAACCTTAATTATTCAGTAAACCTGTACAGAATAGAATACTTTCTTCAGAATTTTTCTGGATTGGGAGGTCAGAGCATATAACCAATTCATTGCTACTTAATAAACACTGAAATAGATGTAGTGCTTTACACCAGAGTAGAAAAATTACTTTTATCTTTAAGCAAAGTTGAACTTACTTTTTAGAAGTAGTACCAGAAATTCCAAGATCTGAAAATTGTAAGGAAAAAAGGAAATAAAAAAGAAACCACACATTTAGAAAATTGGAGCCTGTCAAAGCAACAGCTTACATTTCATTGCATTGGGGCCTATCAAGACCAAAAAAGTTTTGGCTGTCTTCATTTAGACAGCATCAGAGGACTGGCCACATCTACCTATTCTTCAGGACAAACACCTGAGAAACCCTGCAGATGTCTTGCACTTGAGAAAGTCATTTTTGCTTCAGCAGCAAACAAAAGTAACTATATTTAGGACCACAAAATGCCAAGTTATTTGAGAGCACTGAACTATTTACCATGAATGGTAACACTAGTTTCTGTTCCTCATTACACATACAGAAATAAAAAGCTGTATTCTACATACACTAAATGTGGACATTGCCTATAAGTTTTCCAATGTTTTATCTGCTTGGTCACACATGGAAACTCCAAATAGTTTCTTTAATTACCCTTTGGAAGAAGTCTTAAGTTAAATTTTAAAGAGTACTCTTCTCACAGGACCATTATATCTCCTGTAATTCATAAATTGCTGTTTGATTTTCTCCTCCAAACTTTGATATAGCAGATGATTTGCAGAAGACATTTCAAGGGATTAAGAGTCTTGCTGACTTCCAAGCTCAGTATTTTCCTCCACACCTAACAGCCATGTCTGCATCATAAGATCAGTTACACATTTGCTGTGGTGTGTTTACATATACTAAGGGAGTATTAATTTTATACAACTTCAGCAGGATTACACCTTAGCCTAGGTGGGCTTCTGATAGGTTTTTTGGAGGGGTTGCAGCTACTGATCTCTAATTACAAAGAGTCTAGCCCTTTTTTCTACTACAGGAAAGTACATAAGAACATATTTGTAAGTTCTCTGCCCCTGCCTTCTTGAGTGCACTCATCACCCCACTGCTACTCTTTGTCTCATTTAACATGAAGTCAGCTATTTGTGTCCACCAGCTTTGCTGCTTAAACTGCCATCAGCCACTTCGGACAATTTTCACCTTTCCATCTATTACAGAGGGGCACATCCATTAAGAGTCTGATGTGCCTCTGAAATGTAGTTGGGATGATCAGATATTACAAATCACACCCACCAAACAAATGCCAGTATTTGACTCAGATCCTGGGCTCCAAGAAGGATAAACCCAGACTAAGAGAATCAGCTATCTGAACCAAGCCTTACTCCTGCTGATAGCTTCCCCAGTTTCCACAGCAGAACAGGAGGATACTGAAGCAAGCTAAATTTGACAGGTATTTGCTCCATGAAAAAGCAACATGCATGCCACACCACTCAAAACCAAAATTTGTCACTTACTGCCGACTAAGTTTGCGAGAGACGAATCAAGATCACTCCCGAGGCCTTTGCTTGCTGCTGCAGCAGGGACTGTTGCTGTGGCTGCAGGTGCTACAGGCTGACCAGAAGGAACCATAGTTGGCATGAGAAGATCACCTAAGCCATCAAACACTGGAAGTGAAAGGAAAGTGAGTTAGAACAGCAGCTGTGATCAAAAATGCACTGCCTGCCACTCTGCTGTTGCTCAACGAACACAGCACAGACGACCACACCACAGATCTTACCCAAACACCATTTGACATTGAAAGTAATGCCAACAAGGGCATGCATGTCAGTTTACCAGACACTGAACGTACAGTAATCCTCAAAAAACTATACCAATGAAAACTAACATGAGAAGACATGCCTAAAAAAGGGATTTAATTGGAGCATTGAATCTACATAGATACAGCACCACTTCCACATGACACTATTTTTCTTACAACCATCCTTACAGAGATGTCAGATACACACACATTTGTCAGGAGATATTCATTTAAAGGTTTTTAAAATGAACATCTTGCTGCAAACACCAGTCAGAATTACTGTGGCAAAGGCAGTCTTATACCTTGACATCTCACAGCAACAGGATTGGCAGTCTCAAGATGTTACTGTTCACTTGCAAGCAGCAGGGAATTGGGAAAACCTACTAACATCTTATGAGATCAGAAGGAACCAGAACCATCCACACAGACAGTGCTATTCTCCTTAGTCCAGTCATCTAACTCAGAAGTTCATTTTTTAGATCCCTTGAAGTCAAACTGCTTGGTACATCTCATGCCTGAGTTCTATCTTCTGATCTGTATTTGAGGTACATGCTAATGTTAAGTCAACAGGGAGGGGTAGCATGTGCACTGGCAAGCAACCAAATAACCAAGCAGCAGTATTATTTCCATCTTTTTTTCTTGTACGGTTGTAGAACTCACCAATTTTAAGTTTGTAGCAAGGACCCAGCATGAAAAATATAGAATGGAAGAGATGCAAACAAAATGATAGCAGTGATAAAAGTTTAAGCTTATAGTCAGGCAAAGAACTCTAGGGCAGTTTCTGTTGTGTGTACCTAAGGTGCCATGCAGGCTCCAGAGCACCATCAGAAGCTGTGGCAACAGGACTTGCCTCTATACTTGATTTACAGAGTAGAGTTTTCCTTGTTTGTCTAATTCCTGATTCATGCTATCAAGCACATGCAAGGATGACGTATACACTAGTTTGTCTTTTACTGACATGGTAGAATAAAAAATGCGTACAGAGAGCTCTTGGGCACACGCCAGCCTTATCACCACCCTGAGGTTCTTCCAGTAAGAAAGAAAAAGTAGGTCACTGATATTGCTTGTACTCAGAGCCTAAAAATGGTGCCATTAACTCATCTACTACACAAAATATATTAGAAAATTCACAGGAAAAAACCCTGTAGCTCACCTGATGCATCAAATGAACTGCCAGCTGTTGGAGCTGTTGTCCCAAAAGCTGCATCAAAGTTGGGCTGTAGTAATCCAGTTTGAGCTGGAGTGACTGGGGATGGTGATGGAGAGGGAGCAATAAAGGAACCTCCAAAGCCTTTAAAAAAAACACATATGAGAGGTGAGGACGTTAGAGCCAGCCTTGTTAGACTGTTTACCAACTCCTCAGTCTATAAAGGGTGGAAAGACAAAAGACAATTCTTACTGTGCCATTTTAAAATAAAGAACATTTCAGCAGCCTATGTGAGCTTCCCTATGTTTATTAGGCTCACTTCAGTATAATGGAACCAAGAGGCCCTCATAACCCAAATCCTAGCCCACAGCAAGTCTCATGCTCACAGCAGCTAACCCTGAATATGGAAAAATGCACTGGCATCAGAGATCTGCCCTCATCTCTTCACAGTCTGTTCCTGACATGAGTTTGTCATGGAATAATGTAGTTTGGAAGGGATCTCTGGAAGTCAGCCAGCCACACATCTTGTTTACAGTCAGTCTAATCAAATCAAGTTGCCCAGACATTTGCCTTAGCACCTTCAAGAGGAGCTCTTACTGGCTCTCTGGGTGGCCTGTTGTCATATCAGACCATTACAGTATTTAATGAGTTTCCCACACACATTTCCTTTTTTTACTGTCTTTGTGCACCTCCAAGAAGAACCTCCTCTGCATGCTCCTGTGAGTTTTGACATCTATAAGCATCTTTTTAAGGCTGAACGAGCCTAGGTCAGTCTCTCTGCATATGTCATAAGCACAAGTAATCATCTCTGTGGCTCTCCACTGAAGTCACTCCACATTAAGAGATTCTGGTATGCTCCACATTAAGAGATTCTCCAATGCATTCCACACTACCCATACCCAGCTGCATTCCCCATCTCCCTTCCAGCACGTGCTATGGTGGTTCCAGCTGCCCTAGTGCCAAAGCTTATATTAGTGATGCTTTCTCAGGCTGCCTAAAAGAGGCTTCCTCTACGTGCCCCTTCTTGAGGAGGGGGTCTGCAGCAGATACCTGCTAAAACACGAGATCATCACCTGCCCAAGGCAAAGCTCAGTGCATTAAAGTATCTGCACAAAAGCACAGATCTCCACAGAACCAGATCAGAAGCAGGTTGACCAGATCCAGGGATGAAAAAGGCAGTTCACTGCAGCAATTCATAAAGTACAGGAGCCACCTAAAAGAGCGTGTCTTTCCACTTTCCTGAGTGAGAGTAAGGAGCCTGGCAGAAAGGTATAAGTATAAGCCAATATCCATTAATAAGGTTCTGTTTAGAAAGTTCTGTAAGCTTCTGCAAAGTCCATAAAGTGTCTATTTTTCCAGCTACAGAACAGAGGACTCCCCAGCTTCTGGTGATGATTTGTATGATGACTGGTCTTAATTTGATGGCTTTTCACCCTGCACAATTTAAGAGGAATACCAGACCCAGAAGCCGTAAAATTCTTTAATGAATCAATTTCCTAGTTGTCTAGAGACTGCACAAGACCCCAGGAAAGGCTGCAGAAACAGCAGCAACTGAGTTAGATGTGTTGTGTGGACACCCTCAACTGCCTGATTTTGAGGTTGCTTTTACACAGTCAACTAAGATTTCATATAAGAACATGTTATTTTTATACATACTAGGAAACACAAGCACATAGTTTAATTGGGTAGAAAGATCTAGAAGGGAAAATGGCTAGACTGTTTTATTTATCTTCAAAGCTCTGGTTTTGTCTGCTGAAAGGCTTAGAGTAGGAAAACATTTCTTCCAAAATTCCTAAGCAAGCCAAGAAGGGGCAGGAACTCATTTGACAGCAGAACATATAAAGCAATTATGAATAGTAAGTATACTCATAACATTATGCATATAAACACTTAGTACAACCAAACACTCATAAACCATGAAGGACATGCCTTCAGCCATGATATGAACTCCAGACACTCTTAAATTTAAAACTGGATTACACTGCAGGCTATACATCTGCCATTATCTAGAGTGAACAAATGCTTAGCAATATGCTGCAATGTTTATAGACTCCCTCTGTCTGCCAAAAAAATAAAATCAAATCTACTTGGAGCCCTTTGGAATGTATATTCAAAACATAAACAAAATAAATTTTAAAAAATCATCAATTCATCCCAACTGTTTCAGGTCTGCTTGAGTATTTAGACTAGAACATCCCTTTTATAATTTAGGTTTTGATTTAATGCAACTCATCAGATTCAGAGTGCACACTGCTGAAGTTTAAAGCCATCTGGAGCACAATTCTTACTTGCATTTAAGGTTAGTTATGGATAATGACATAAAATATTTTGTACTGTAATGTTTGCATAAGCGGAATTAGAATTCTGTCCAACAACCTTGTCGCACCCAGTCTCCTGGTAGCACATGTAACTGCAAAAGACTGTCATGTTCCACAACTGATTAGTTAAAAATTGATCTATGGCCTTAAGCCATCTATAAACTACTACAAAGACCTATCAAAGAAATATGAAAGAAAAAGTAACCTTCCACCTTAAAATCTGAAGCAGTCTGTCCTAAAGATTTAGCATACATTTACACATTATGTCCCAATTTAAGAATCTGGCTTGCTGATTGAGAATGGATGTATGCCTTATTATTATCTAGACAACTTCCTTCATTCCTGTAGCACAACTAGACAATGTCCACACTTTGAGAAGATACTTGAAAATGTAGTGATAACATACCCACCAATTCTACAAATTGTGCTGGTTTTGGCTGGGGTAGCATTAATTTAAATCATGACACAAATCCCCCTTTCAGAAACATGGGAGAATTTAAGACAAGTCTTCAAACCAAAAGTGCATGTGTTGGGATTTTGCTCTTTACAAACTTCAAATTGGGATGGGGAGGAGTCACAGCTGTTTAGCTCAGCCACTACAATACATGGTATAGCACGAATTTTGGAGAGTAGTACACAAAGAATTCAGCTGAAGCTGCTTATCTGTAGGTTGCAGACTAAAATAATACAGTTATCCAACCTTTGATATAGGTGTGACAGTGGTGAGAGACCTCATCTCACCCAGTGTAAGGAGAGGGTCTCTATCACTTCTCTGTCCTTGTGCTCAGAAAACCATGCTCACATCAACCCACTCTCCTTGGCTAAATGCAAGACTGCTACCAAGTCAGTCATTCAAGCTACTAACATTTAAGTGCTCAACCAAATTAAAGAAAACCAAATTGAATGAACTCAAAGTTTAATTAGCAGTAAGGAACAAGAAGCATAGCCTGAAATCTTGCTTAACTTTAGTACTGCTACAGACAGCCAAAGAAACTTCATGGAGACACTCATACTCAGTGAACAGTACAGAAAAATAAGGCTGTGTGGGAGGTAGGAAAACAAAGAACATGGAAAGAAGATAATCTAGGAAGTAAGCTTGTACTTCACTATATTGCCTCCATTATAAGTCACTCTAGTTTTAATTAAAATATCAGAAGTCCTAAGAAATCTAGTGCATAAGTATTTTATTTCACTATCTACACCCAAAGAACATAAAAGATTTCAAACACCATTTCTTAGTATTGCTCTAAAGTAACAAGTTTTTAGAAGTTCTTTATTACCAGCAAGTAGGTCTGCAGAAGCTGAGGAACTAGAAGCAGCCTGGGTAGTGGGCTGGGGTTCAGCAGCACTACTTCCAAAAGCATCTAAAGGGAATTCCAGAAAGCATCAAGAAAGAGTGAGACATTCAATATTAAATACATCAATTCATCACTTATCAAAACATGACAAAAGAAAGTCACTTCATACATCAGAAGAAGAAAATGAAACTGCTTGGCCATCCTTATTGCAGAGCAGTACTATGGATGCAAAGTTCAGGTGGATAAAAGGATGTACAACAAACCAGTATTTGCAAGAAATCTCTTCTCCTTTATTTGGACCTCTTCTCAGATACAAATCACAGCATTCAAGACAACAGGACTTTGGAGATGAATGCATTGGCTGAAAGTTTGGAGTCATTGCAGCCAGAAGCCACTAGCTCACATGAAATCTTCTTAGAGGAATGTATCACTAATGTTTGGAATTCACTGCTTCTAAGCACCACTTCTGTTTCTCAACATGCCTAGAGTTGGTTGTGTCCATCCTAATTTCCACCTTGTCAAAACCCATGATTCAGATATACCCAGTTTGAGACAAGTCACCCTCAAAAGTTCAGCTGCTTTGAGAAACGGAACTGAGAGGAAACAGCATGACCATGGAGATTAGCAAAGAAGAAAAAGGACAGAGCAGAATTTCACTGGACATCTGAGGAAGAGCCACACATGCACTGACTGGGGACAGAATGGCAAGTGTCATGACAACAGGACAACCAGACAGCTTATTTGCAGTTCGTTATGGTGCAAGTTTAAGAACCAGACGTGCCAGACTCAGCCCTAAGGCCAGACAGAAAAGTTGAGAAGGGGAAACCCGCAGCTTTAGCAAAGCGCAAAGGTAATCGAAATGAAGTGATTCAACTCTGAAGTGGTGAGGAAACAAAAATACCCACCACCAAATAGGTCAATCACACCTGAAGAATCCACCTTTGCTGGAGAGGCAGCGGGTAGAGGAGAGGGGGCTGCAAATGCATCCACTGCAGTAAGCATAGGATAAATAATATTTAGTATCAGCAAGGCAACAGTGATAGCTAAATATTTCAAAGCCATATGGGCTCCAACAATTAGTACCACACGTTTGGTAAATTCGGGTAATAGTCTCCAGAACTGCAAACAGAAAGTGTTACATTTCTCACACAGCAACTGAAAAACCACAGTACTTTAAAGAAAACATTGCTTATTAAGCATTTTCTTATGCTTAGAGGAGTATTTGCTCTCCCAACAACAACATCACTTACTTACTGAACTTCAGTGTCAGCCACTTCATGATTTGCATCTTCATTCAGCAAGTGCACATCTTGTGACCAAAGCAGCAAACCCAAAACTTAATATGTCTTGATATTTCAGTTTAAAAATGTAAATTGGCAGTAAGCTGTTTGTGTATTTTTATTTTTTTTTACTTTTGGAAAAAAATCCAAACCCAGGAAGTCTGTGGAATGGCCTGTGAAAACAAGCACTTACCAGATAAGAGATCACCAGTGAGAGAACTCTCAGGCACAGGAGAAGCTCCAGGTTGTGGAGATGAAAATGTATCTTCCAGGAAGAAAAGAAAGAACGAGAAGTAAGTATCACTCAAATCAAGTTTACACCATTACACAGGCTCAAAGCAGCAGAGTATCAGATGAATTCTCTCTTTACCTGTACCAAAGAGATCTATGCTAGGAGTAGCATCAGGTTTAGGTGCTGCAGGTGCATCAGGAGCAGACTCAAATAAATCTAAGGCCAAGAACACAACACATCTTTAACTCATTTTTGAAAGGCAGGACTGAAAACAGAAGTTTCCAATTTTGCACATCATATTTGAAATTAACAGGCTCTCTGCTTTGAAAGCCTAGCACACAACACGCATGCAACAACGAATAGTTCATTTGGTACTCCTGACAGATCAATCCACCAGAATCAAAGAGTTAAAAACAAAATTACCACCAAATATATCTAGAGCAGGAGGAGCGGAGGTGGTGGCGGTAGCAGAAGTGGTGGCAGTAGTGGTGGTAGTGGCAGTAGCTGTAGTAGCAGTAGCAGCAGCAGCAACAGCAGCAGCTGGAGAAGGAGTTGTTGCAGGAACTGGAGTGGCTGCACTAGTTGTAGGGGTAACTACAGGAACAGCAGTCTCTGTTGGCTTCATAGCAAAGAGGTCCAGCTCAGGAGCAGCCTCTGCACTACCTTCGGATGGGGCAAAGGGGTCTTGTAAAAAGGAGAGGGGAAATATATGTGTATGCATACTTAGGATCAGTGAGGGAGGAAGTCAAGAACAAAGCAACTATAGGCAATGCACATACTGCAAATACACGCACGCACACAGAGGAGGCTGCTCTAACATCTAGCTTACTTATCCAGACATGTTACTTAAGTTTTTTTCCAAAATAAAGACTGTCTAAAAGGCTGAGCAGCCTAGTTACTAGAGGGGAGAACTTTCAAAGGTTCTTTGATGAGGCCAAAAAACCAAATATGACAAAGGACTATCCAGGCTACTGTTAAAACTCAGCACTGACAGAACTGTTCATTAGCACTACCAAATAAATACAAAGTCACTGGGACTTGGAAATAGGCAAATTTGTTAAGCATGCTCTTCAGTCTAAGGTTTGTTTTTACCAATTGCAAACAGTATGAAATTTTCAGAAAAACACACTGCCATGTAGTTTAAACAAAAAAAAACCAAAACAAAACAAACCAAAAACCAGCAAAACAAGAGACTATCTAATGACATAAAACCCACCATTTCCTGAACATGCATCAAGAGCTGCTGCTACAGGGGTTGGGGTAGCTGGTGCTGCTGCCCCTTCAGCTGCTGCAGGGGCTTCCCCAGGAGAAGCTGCAAAGGCATCTTGGGTGCAGTTTAAAAACATAAATTAAAAAAACAAAAAAGGAATAAAGAGAAGAAAAATATAGTAAAAGAACCAAGTTAAATTGCACAGGTAGATCCCCTTATACAACATGAATGTAATTACTCCAACAGCAAGACAACTCATGCAGCGCAAAACGCTTTGTCTCTCCCCCAACCCCACACAAGCAGGTTCTAGACAGGGTTTGCAGATGGAGCTTCTTGGGTTGCCCACAATAAGCACAGTGAGTGCAAAAGAAGGCATTATTCTCATTGTATAAGGGTTCAGAGCAGCATGCTCATGTACTACCCAAAATCAGCTAATTAACAAAATTAACTTAAGAGCAGATATTAACAACTTGCATGCTCAAAGCCTGTATTACATGTGATTAATCTGCAACTGTGAGTTTACTTGCATAGTGCCTTGCACTGTTACAAATAACAGTCCAATTACTCTGGTAGGTATTTGCAACTACCATTTCTAGTCTTTGAGCCAAGTCAGTCATGCAACATCTAAAAAACTGAACTTACTTGTTTCTTAACAGTATTCCAACTGGATCTTTCTGAAGCCATAATGTGATGCATAGGTTATATTTACTCAGCTTGCTTCAAACAGATCAAGATTATTCATCTTAACCAATGGCTGGCCAGCCATAACCTGTCTGTCCCTTCAGGATCACTTCTAGGCCAACCAGCCAAGTTAGAGAAAGTGACTAGTTTGGGGTTTTGGAATGACTTGCTCATTAGGTTTTTTGAAGTTTTTTTTTTGTTTGCCACTTGCTCTTCGACTCTTTTTTTTTTCTTTTTGTTTGCCAGTTCCTAAATGGCATGCTTAAATTTCAAGCTATGAACAGCATTATTTCTAGGCTTAAACCAGCATTTGTGCTCTTAATTCTATGAAGTAGTCCTAATGGACAGTGCCATTTGGACTATCCTCATAGGCAAGCATTTTCTCCACAAAAAAGGACTGCACAATGAGGATTAAATACTTCAAGATGCTTGTAAAGGACATTTTTCTACGCTACAAAAATTAGCAAGTTAAAAACATCTTTTGGGGAATACTACAATTGCACTGTCAAATTAGCACAGGAAAAAGCTTAACATGCTTTAACTTGAAGGTCAATTTTAAAATGAAAACAACCATTTTAAAAACAAATTCGTGCCAGGTAATCTAAAAAGCTCAAAAGAACATGCATCAAAACTTCAACAGAAGAGAAGAAAGCCCACTAGTCTTGTACAATAGAATTAAAATGAGTTAGTAGCAAAAAATGCCTGCTAATAAGCCATTTCAAATATAATTCTATTTTTCAAGTAACAGGGTTGTTCAACAACAAAACTGGATGGCAGTTGTCCAAGTAAAAACATCAGAGTGAGTCAAGCATCCCAGTGCTGTGTGTGTACCAGACACTGGCGTGCTCCGTGTGGAAGGAATTCAGCACAGAGCTGAACTGAAGGGTTTTGCATCATCCTGCTTGAGAAGGTGTTTTGTGTAACATCATGTGAGATCAGTTCTGCACTACAGGGCCAGCTTTCAGATGAAGGGGCACCCTGGGCTCTTGCAAAGAAATGTATTTGTGCCCACACAAGCTTGTAGGCCAACAGCACAGACATTGGTCAACCCTACTTACAATTACTTTCCAGGATAAAAGGATAGATTCCAGATAACATTTAAGGCAGAAATACAGAGTGTATAGATCTAGCCACTAGTTCTATGTTGGGATCACTTCAGCCTCAGAGTGATACCTATTCCTGTCCAGATTTAGGCTATTGAAGTTCCACATATAATAGATAATAATATAATAGATATTAAGGTGGGCACAAGTTCCTTCCAGCCCACAGATGCATGGAAACAGTTTGGCACCAGCTTTATTTCTTTATTTTTTACTGACACTTCTGTGTAAGGTTCTTGTCAAGCGCTGTAATTTTTTTAGCATCAGACTTGGGTTAAATGGCAGGTGGGATAAAAACTTCAGTTCTTACTGGAATCTAAAAGAAAAATATCATTGTAAAATCTCCTAATATTAGTTACTCTGATTAGTTCAAGAAACCTATATAAATATAGAGACACACCAACCTGAACAGGTGACCCTACAACTCACAGCCTAAACCAAGGGTTTGCCATTGGGTTTAAGCTAGTGCTTAAGTTCTTTTCAAAAGGCTCTGCTGCTCCTGCACAACTGCCCTCTGCTAAAATCTAGCCTAACATGCAACAATGGGTACAATTACATCTGCATATTTTATTATTAATAAAGACAGTTTATTTTCTTTTGTGTTCCTTCATATTGTTGTAGTAACGCTACATTTGCACATTCAGCAGTGTAAGAGATTTTCTCCCTTTAAAGCAGTCACTGTATTCTTTATATTTTTGCATCTCCTGTCTAAAAAATGAATTTAGCTTTTGACTTCTAGAATCAAGTAACATATGGTCCTCACTTGATTTTCTTGACATGCTGAAAACTTAACAAGATGTTGCTGAAACCTCTGCAAGTTCACACTGCACGGAACACCTGCCAGGAGTGACAGGTATGTATTATGTACTGCGTTACACTTGAATTCATAAATATAGTTCTTACTGAAATAACACGCAAACAAGGGGCTTTCAAAGTTGTTAAACACTGAAGTAGTGCTTCAATACATCTTGTCAGCAGAAAAAATAAGTGTTCCTGCTGAGTGATCTCTTTCGTCTCATAAATTCAGGCTTTCTTTGATGCCATGGCATCAATACATGGCAAATTTACTCACACAAATGATACAACTGACTTATAATCATTCATGAATTATGAAACATGTGAAACAATCCTGTGGAAGTCACAAGTAGAGGAAAGATTATAGAACTGAAGCATACACAAGAAACTGCTCCAGAGTTTTTTCCCTCTTCAGTCACCCTTCATTGCTATTTGACATAGAACACCTGACCTGAGTTATAAAGAAATATTTCACTATGCTCAGAGATAGGAAATAATAATAATTATGCAAAGTATTTGTTGTCTGTTTGGTATTTATTAATTAAGTGCTAACTTGCTATACCAGCATGTACCAGCATAAGGGACATTGCTTAGCCCTTAACTGCCAAAAGTCTTCAGCACTTTGCTTGCAGTTTCTTTACAGGAAGACCATAGCTGTGCCTATTTACAATTCAATTACCTTAATGCCTAATAAGTGACATTTGCACAGTGTCTGCCGTGACCTGTTACTTGCACTGACTATAGAGTAATCCCACAACAAATTGTAACTCAAGTGCACAATACACATATCCAAAAATACTATTCCCAAATTTTATTACTGAATGGCATATCAAGGTATTTTGCCTTTTTTCTACCTTCGCATTTCTCTTTCACAGGAAGGATTCTAGCTGCTCTTTGAAAACAGCCTCCTCTTGTTTGTCTTTGAAACATGATTAGGAGTTCCTCAAGCTGGCCCAGGTCACTGAAAGTTTGCCTCTTAATGACATGGAGTTCTTTAAAAAAGCTATGCTGGATCAATCCTGCATTTCTCATCTGCTTTCCAATGCCATACTGGCAATGAACACATAATGCAGATCTTATCTCTCAAAGACAAAGCCCAGCCCTAGGCAGAATGCAGACTCCTATCAGCCAAAGTATCAGCCACACAGTGCAGTCGACAGTTATTCCACAGCCTCCTCTACTGCTCCTTCCTTCAGCCTGGCTACCTTTCCCCAGCAGCTTTCAGCCTCTTTCCCTACACAAACACTCCCTGAAGACTCTTTACATTCTTTCTCTCGAGATCACTGCTCCAGTACCTTCTGCTACCACACCTGGCCATAAGAAATTGTGTGAAGCAACAAAGCCCTGGCAAGCTGCAAGAAGTTAAGGTGACCTTGAGGACCCTATCTCTAGTAGGCCTCAAAGGTGAAATACCTACTTAATAGGATTAAGTGTAAGCATGTCTAGCATCACAAACACTAGACAGTAGCAGTGTCTGCCCAAAAACGACCACTTCTAGCACTGGACACAGTCTTAAATTAACAAGGAATGCTAGCATATGAGCTAGAATATACTTAGAGCACAGCCTTCAGGAAAAAACAAACAAACAAAGAAAAAAATTCAAACCACGGACAGACAGATGGAAGTTCAACACAGACTCACAGATCTCAAAAGGGTCTGTCCACTGGATGTCTTGAAGGCACTGCAAAAGTATCTCTACTGCTGAGTGTGTTTAGAGATTTTTCTTATTGCAAACAAGAGGTTTTCTACTATCATAAATAATAGAACCTCGCTTCATTCTGAAGCGTTCCAGGAAAAAAAAAATAAGTATGCATCTACTATATAATCCACTGGAGATTTATTGCATTTGAGTGACAAAATACATTCTCTTTAAAGGAAGAGATCAAGTCACAGAAGTCTGCATGCCGCAAGAGTGAAATTCTTTCCGCACTGAAGGGTGAAGCTCCACTTCTGAACACGCGTCACTAAGTTATCTAATGATCAGTTAAATCTCTAGAAACTAAACGCATCCTGGTCCTTGCCTGACAAGCCTGGAAGCAGGCACATGATGTGACAGTAGTTGTTTTTCCAGATACAGAGTAGTGGAAAAGGTAGGAAAAAAAATTGCATCTTATTGCTGTAGTACTGGAAGAACAAGCACAGGTAGTTGTTTTTCCAATCCTGTTTCAAGTTCACAGTGATTTCTATCCATTTAACGATCCTTTCATTTTTTTACAAAAGTCATATACCTATTACTAAATTAATTAATTATTAAATTAATTACTAAATTACCAAGTTAATAAATTAATAATGTAATTTGAAGTTGTAGTATCCAAGACTGGCTCAACCTCAGAGCTTACATCCCATAAATTTCACACTATGCATCTGCAGGGTTATTAATGAGCACAGGCCCTGGCTTCTGCAACATGCTCCTGAGAGCAACCAACATCAGACTCTCTCTCACTTCTAGTGGCATCCAGAACTTTGCCCATGACAATTTTGAAGATGCTTCTCAACTGGCTGATCTTGTGGCATTTAGATTATTATCAATCTTTGTAAAAGGAGGGGTAATCAGCAAGTAGCAGTTGTATTCCTTTCTTAGGGCTTTTCAGCATTTTATCAGGGCATATGTTGGTGCTGTCTGTTGAAGCCACTCCTAAAACAACCCTTCTAACTGGGAATTTTCAGGCTTAAGGAAACACCTTTGTAGTCAAACTGCTTATGTATGAGACCTCTCTGGCAATCCTGTCAGTAGAAGTGATAAATAAACACACCCCACAGAGAAGATACTGGAATTCAGTTTTGATAGCAAATAAGCTATTACCTATTCCTGAGATCCCCTGTCATGCTGGAAGTATATATGAGAGAAGAGAAAACTAGAAAAACGCATTGGTCAGGGGATCTTAAACATGGTTAGTAAATCAGAAGGTTTCTCCATTACTGGGCTGGTATATTGTTAAAAAAATGTAATTTCTGACATGCTGCTGGGAAGCCTCCTGCTCCACAGGAGTACCAAGAAAAATGACAACATACAGTGGGAAATGTATTCCTACTCAAGCGGATAGCAGAGAACGTTAGAAACTGAATGAGCACAAGTAAACTCTAAGATTATTTTTCCTCTTTTTCCTTTACATATTATTGTTTGCATAGTTGACATTTAGTTCAAGTTCATCACCCCTTCAATTTTCTGCAAATATTTGTGAAATAAAACCCAAATTCAAGATTGCTGAAATGCAGTAATTTCAGCTGGCTCCATACTCTATTTGCAGGAAATACCCAAAACAAACACAACACAGCACAAGTATGACACATAACAAAGGGGAGGATACTGCCACATCTATCCCTTCAACTACAAAAGCACAGCTGCTTTTCTCAGAAATTGTACTAGAGTGCACAGTTATTGAATAATGTGGAAACAATTCCTGCTTACCCCCACGTGGACCTGAGACATAAGTTTACCCAGTCTTACGGTTTACAGTTTTCCATATATTTTTCCATATATATGCAGCTGGTTAAACCAGAGGCCTTATTGTGCAGCTGAGCTCAGTATTGCTTGCCTGCATCACGAACTGGTGCGGAGCACTACAGCAACCAAACTAACCTCCAAAGAGATCCACCTCAGCAGTGGCAGCAGGGACAGTGGTGGCTGTCGTGGCAGCAGCTGTAGTGGTTGCAGTGTCAGTAGTTGGAGCAGCAGCTGCAGTAGGCTCTGGGGCAAATGGATCTGAAATCTGTGGCTCCGAGGTCACACCAGAAAGTGCAGCCAGATTATCTATATGCAACCAAGTAATGAAGAGCAAACAGGAAAGGTAAGGGGAAAGGCAAAGACCACATTGCTCAGCTCCAGAAAGCTGGAGCTTTTAGTGAGGAGTCTTAACATACAGAGGTCTTAGAAATCGAAAATACTACTCACCCTCTCCCAAGAGGTCTAGTGATTGTCCATTAAAATGACAGCAGAATAAAAAAACAGTAATTAGTAGAACTGCCAAATTGAAGATGTTCATTAGCCAAATGTTCATGCTAAATCGCATGTCTAGGTTATGCCTAGAAACATAATTTCTACACTTGCTTTTCTAATATTCAGGAAGTTATTCTGACAGGACAAAGCTCATTCTGTTTAATTATTCTTCAAAGCATAGAAGACCAGTACGTCCCCAGAACTCTTTACAGAACAGGCACTAAAGTAGGATACTTAAGCAGCGAGCAGCTTGCAAATAGTGTTGTTACTTCAGGATATGATACATGGCATCCCTAGTCCCCAAATACATTCTGAGAGACAAACAGGTGGTGGTTCTTGGACTTGGGACAACTGCCAAGTGCAAAACAAATAAATAAATAAATAGAGCAGCTCCTCTTCAAAAGCCTTTTCTGCATCTATGATAGAGCAAACATGCTCTGCAGGAACAACTAACTCTGTTAACACTTGCTATGAGGAGTATGAATGTTGACAGCACAAGCATAAGCAGACTGGCTCTGCTCCAAGTTTGGCTCCTTAGTCAACTGCTTCTGAAAGCCAATGAAGCATCTTTAATGACAGACTTTCCTATAATTTTATGTCCTCTAAGATCAGTCAGATTGAGCTCATACACAGAGTTATGTTTTGCCTACATAAAAATCAGCTACGAGATATAAAAACATGCAAAAACTAATTAGTCTGTCCTATTAAATTTTTATTCTGTAGTTAGGATAGCCTGAGCTCAGCATCTCCCTGTTTACTAACCAGTATCTCAGTGCTGCTCCAAGATTCTTTGTACCCATAACAGGGCCATGGGTTCATCTTAACCACACTGAAACTGAACAGCAAGCAGAGTCCTGATGCTCTACTGTGGATCAGCATTTGGAAGCAAAATTATTTGAGCAGGAGCAGCCCTACCTTCACAAATTTGTCTTTATTTTTAAAACACTTGTAAAAAAGGCAGCAAAAACCTACATTTAGATTGTTTACAATTTTCATAATTGGTTCCTTGGGCAAGCCCTACTTGAGACTGACGGCACAAGCTGAACTAAACCAAAATACCATTCTAAAAGAGTAGAACAGTACATTAAAAATGCAGCACTCTGGTATCCCATTACTGCACACCAGGTGAATGTCAACAGCTAGACTTGAAATAAACAACTGTTGGCAAAATTTTAAGTTCTATTAGCTCAGTCTTCAATGCCTTTTTATTATTATGTTATTGAACTCAATATAGTAAAGTGACAATTATCCAACACAGCAATGTACGCTCAGTCTTAATATGGGAATTATTAAAAACAATGGGTTTTTTGTACAGTAATATTAAAGTAATAATACTGTTAGCAAATCCATGTTCTAAGACACACTGTAAGGTAGTTCAGAGCAGAAATTCAAGTCAGTTTGCTTTTATATCCAAGAGTAAAACCTCACAAAGAGGCAGACTTTGACCTACTGTATGTTTTGTAATACTATAGTCTACTCTACCTGCTAAATGGCTATCTATTCTCCTTGCAGTATGCTGCAAGGCACCAAATTATCCTATCTTGATGGTTTCCTGACACTATAGAAGTGAATATTTTCAGAAGTTATAGTTCACTTGGTAGATGACATATTATGTATTCAGAAATACAGTAGTATACAACAAAATATACAGTGTACTGTACATAACCCCAAATATAATCCAAATATACTGAATATATAGCATATGCCAAAATACATAGAATCTACACTGTCAGCAAGACTGAGAAAAGCAGGACTGTTTATTGTTGATATGTCTTAATGCTGCAACGTGAATTGATATTCACATTTTCCTAGCTATTCTGAACCTGTAATAACTTCAGTGCTTCTTCCAGCTTCCTCCCTCCAGAACTATTTTCTCATGAGTTCCCACATTCAATTGCTGTAGCCCAGAAGAGTAAGCAGCCCTCAAGTAGCAGGGATGCATGGTTACACAGCCTCCCAAAATTCCTCGGTGGAATGAAGGTTATTGTGTCCACCCTTCTGCTCAGAACAACAGTGTTCCCAATACCAGAACAGGTCACTCATGCCTCAGACTACTCAAGTCTTGAAAAACCTCCAGGAATGGAGAGCTCACTAGCTCACATCAGGGATCTGCCTCAGTACTGCCCTACCTTCCAGGTGAAATATTTTTACTCTGTCAGAGAGTTCAAACAAACCCAAATGAAACAAAACAAAAGGCCAACAAGACCAAACCTAACCAAAACCAACAATAACAAAAAGCAAGATTCCAGTGCACTAACAGGTCATCATACCTGGACTGCTGCCAGCAGTAAAGCAGACAAGGCTGAAGCTTACTAAGTTACCAAAATGCTATTCTGAAAGATAAGACTGAAGTGTACTTAATGAGGCTAGCAACAACTCCAGCCATAGGAAAATAATTAGCTGTCCTTTTCTGTCATGGCGTAAGACTAAGGATATTACCAGACAATTTTAAAGTTTTTAAACTTTAATTCAGAAGAATAAAAACACCTAAGTTTCAAACTATGGGTGTTTTGTCCAAAAAGAAAAAATAAAACCAAATCAGCTTTCAATTTCTATGCAAATCAATACTTTACAATATTACTGGCTATTTATTTGTATTTCTATTATTGCAGGAATGAGCAACTGTTTAAAAAAGTTAGCTCTTTCAAACATCTCAAAGCTTGTAATTCAGTGCTTCGCAATGACAAAGTAAGACAAATAGGACACAATCAAAATACTGCAGAATAATTAGTCCCAGGCATCCTAGAATAGACAACTCTCTGGTCTTGCTGTCTGGATAAGATTATCTTACTGTTAATAAAATTGACATTTGCAAGGATAAAAAAAGAAATTAATTCAACAGATTAAACTGGAATATGCAATACAGTGTCTACATGACAGCCCTAGCTATCCTCTCTTAATGAAGTGGCTGAAGTACAATGCCATCTTTAATGAACTACAACTAAGAACAGAAACAGGGACTGCAGAAGGCACCAGTGGCAGTATGAGCCCTGACAGCAGAGTCAGCATGACTCAGTGCTGCATTCCAGCTGGGAGCAGGCTGGTGAGTTCATTAAGCTGCCACACAGGATCCCTTAAGATTACACCACAATTGGTTTACAACTGTATAAATTAAATCACATTTACTGGCCTAATTCCTTGTTTTTACAGGACAAGAGTGAGCACTGCCTACATTTATTGTGGTCCTCCAGATCACCAGCTGTTGCTGCTGCCTGGAACAACAGGGTCGGATTTCAGAGAGCTGGTTAGTTATTCCTTTTTGAAAGCAGCTAGCCCTCTACTTCTATTTCCATATTAGTATTCTAAGCACACACAGCAGACACTTTAATAAAATATGTCAAGCCTTGTCAGAGGTAATCACACTTGCAGCAGAACTAAGTTGCCACCGTTCGCTTTACACGCATTTTTGTTTTAAAAGCTATTTTTGTTTCTCCTCCTATTGATTTGTGGCCTTTGCCCCACGAAGAGAAGAGCTGTTTTCTGCCCCCACCATGCCAATAAACACACAAGCAGTTCTGGTTCTTCTGTTTTGAAGTGCCTACCCTACCTGCTCACCTTCATCCATCCCCCTCCTGCTCACTTTTAGTCACATAATCCTGACTCCCTCAGCTTTGCAGTCAGGCCCTTATAAGCAGCTTATACTATTATGCATATCCCTGGAAAGAAGCAGCAGCCTTGAGCTGCAGAGGGATGCCTGACTGTCAGGCCAGCAGAAGCCTGGGAGTGGGTTGGGAACATCCTGTGCTAGCAGAGAAAGAGGCAGATTTCGGTTCAGGCAGGCAAGGAGATGGAGACTGCAGGGAGGGATGCTGACAGTGAGGTTTCTCTACCTCCCCACGAGGTGCCTCCAGCAGCAGCAGCAGCAGCAGCGCCCGCAGGAGCAGGCGCTGGAGCTGCCTGCCCAGCACTGGCAAAATCTGGCTGAAGATCCAAAAGATCACTGGATGGCTTGGAAGAGCTGCCAAGAGAAGGAAGAGAGACATTACATACTGGAGGAATTTGTCCATTTCAATCATTTTTTTTTTAATGTCATGACTGGATTAAGGAATCAACCATAGTTTGGATGAAATAGAGACCTTTTTTCCAGGCTTTAGGATTAGAGCAGTGGCCATAAGCACCTCTAGTGTAGTGAGTCCCAAGAATATGCTACAACCCAGGATGGGAACCTTAACTTACTTCCATTTCCTGATAATGGCATTGCAACAGATCTACGAGACTTAAAATTCTTTAAAAAGACCCCCAAATAACAAAAACAAACAAACAAACAAACAAAAAAACCCAAACAAACAAAAAAAAACCAAAAAACCCAAACCCCAACCCAAATCCAACTAACCAAACCAAAAGAAATCCCACCACAACACCCAAAACAGAAAATGAAAAATTCCAGGCAGTGCCTGAAAACAGAGAAAATAACTGTTGTGACTGAAACCAGCACCATTCTACTTCCATATTTCATCATGCCATGTATGAAAGCAAGAACCCTGCATTTCCAGGCAATGAACTGGCTTTAGGTGGAAGAAGATTGGCAGAATTTCTATGCGTTAATCCAGTCAATTATTTATTTAGGAAACCAGATCTTGTTCATCTAGAACACTTAAATACCAAACAATTGACTTTGGTACCTACATCAAGCTCAGTAACTCAAATACACTTTTTAACTTACCTGACTGGAGCAGCTGTAGATGAAGTTGCAAAAAGATCAACTGGAGGAGATGTATCAATAGTTTTTGCTGGAGTAGAACTAGGAGATGTAACAGTTGTGGCTGGAGAAGACTGGAGAAACATTTTAAATATACATTCAATATACCAGGATTTCTCCCCAACCAGCCCATGCACAGCCCTAGTTTTAGTTTAAGAACTAAATTTGGACATAATGTCGTTTTATCGTGAGGTATTTTCTCCTCTCAAATAATTTAAGGAAGACTGGACTAAAATTTCAGATGGTAGCAGAGCTGAGAAACCCCAAGGTGACTTCAAAGAAGCAAAAAGTTTCTACAAGGTTTATTTTAAAGGAGTTGTTTCTATAACTGTCAAACTATTCATTTTGTCTATGGAATTAAATAGTTGTTTGTCCACAACAGCACCTCAGTACTCTAACCACAGAAATGGTGGGAGAAGAGAAATGGTTAGAAACTAGTTAAAAGTTTAGTTAAAAATGTGTCTGTAAAGCTTCAGAAGAGAGTTTAAAGAGCCACCAACAGCATTCAGGGTTAAGTCCTTGGAAAGATACAAAAGACAGCTCATCCTATGACTTTGCTTCATTAGCTGCTCCAATTCTGGATAAAGATACTTCAAGTATGGCAAGGACAGACACCCAGGAGAGTATACTGCAACTCCTCTGTGAACTTGAAGACTCAAGTTACCTGGTAGAGTGTCAATTTAATTCCAAAAGACACTGTAAGCTTTGGTACAGCATCTCACATGCTAGAGATCCTTTACCTAACAACTGAAAGCAAGTCCTAATTTTAGTACTGTTTGCCATTCTGACCACTTGCAAGAAGGAAAAAGAACGGCAAATTTGAAGAGATTTTCTCCTGAACACTTCTACTGCCATCCCATCATCATAACTCTAGCACATGGGTGTAAGCTTTCTGGACTCTCTTCAAAGCTTTAGGAAGGTTTGAGACTACAGTGGTCCCAATCCCTCATGTGCATCAAGGAAGAGGGGTTAAAGCTGTAAGAACACTGTCTGAGCCATCATTCTCACCAAACTGCTCTTGTAAACAGCAGTTGTGGGGGTTACTTTTTTATTTTGCTTTCTTTTGGCTTTGTTGTGGCTTTTTTTAGTAAAGGGCTTTTCAGAAAGAAATTTAAGAGCTTTATCTAGAATCAAGAACTGAACCCCATGCATTATCTTCAGAAGATTTAATTGAGTTTTTCCCCACAGCATCCATTATGAGACACAGCTATGGCACTTGGCAATGCTCCAGGGATACCAGGAGCTACTATTACTAACACCATAAAGCTCATTAGTTTATCTGACACTCAAACCAAGGCATTTTCACTGGCAACTCTTGCTTTAAATTAAGGTCAGCAGTCTCACTACTGAAGGTCATTTCTGAAACTAGGTATATTGGATGAAAATTTTCTTCCTAGCTTTTCACATGAACATGGGTTTAGAAGAGCCAGAACTCCTTCCTAGAAAGCTATGGAAGGAGTGAAGGACTTGGAGGAGAAATACCCTGGAGCAAGTTTCTTGGTGATATGAGAATTAAGGTGGAATGAAAGCAAAAAAAAAAAAAAAAAAAAAAAAAAGAAGTTGAGATAAAAATATATGTATCTTTTATGCTTTCACAAGGAGAAGTCACCACATCCAGGTGAAATTCCTTAGCATCCTGATTGGCACAAGCACTGCAGCCCTTCAGAACAGTGACATGCTCTTATGGGCCACTGTTTATAAAGACATTAAAAGATCTAATTTTGTCAATTAGGTGGCAAAGTCTAAAAAGCAGAATAAGAGATGGAAATTTAACTCCTTACAATGTCCTAAACAATATCACCTGAACAAGAATTATCTAGTATAGCAACTGGCAGCATTTACCTTGCTCAGAGGAGAAGGAGCCCCAGATCTAGAAAAAAAAGGGGTTTTCAGATAAGTACAGCTTTAAAACTATGTTTCTGATCATCAAAACTCCTGCAAAAAGACCAAAACCTAAGCATGAAAGCTTTCTGAAGATCTCTTCAATTGCACGCCCTCTACATTTCTCAAACTTCCATGTGGCACTTTAGACAAGGAATGCAAATTTTACTTCAAATCTTAAATAAATCTTTTAAGCTAACTGGCATCAAAGGATTATTCTGCCTTTTAAATAAGCTCTACTAAATGGAGAAAATGCAGAGATGCATGCAAATATCTTGCTTTGGGGCCTACAGGAGTCAGCAGGAAAGAGTTACAGGGGCAAGATGTCACCATATTAGAAAACCACGCAACAGCAGCAGAACACCACCAATACTGAAGCAATTCTCTAACATAAGTCTTCTGAGGATGTGTCAGCAAATTTTCAAAGTCTACTTTCTTTTAAAGAAAGTCAGAATTACTTGAAAATAACTACATTAAAAAGTATGAAAACTGTGAGTTGGAAAGTTCAAGCTGAAAGTTCTCCCACATGCAGAAAAATCACACTAACAGTAACTGACAGAGCCTTAATCATAACTTAAAATGCACGTCAGTGCATTTGTTTGCTTTCATTATGAGTTATGAAAATACTGCTACATATTTTTAGGGCTGCTTTGATCTAAGAGATGAAAGGAGGAGCTGAAGATAAAGCTGCACCAGTATTGAACTACCATCCATCCCATAAGTTACTTGAATTGGGTAAGTTCTAGGAGCTGTAGAATAGATTAGAAGATTTCCAGATCTTCTAATCACAGAAATGACAAAAAAATAACTTAATGACTATATACAAAAGCAAAGAACAGTTTAGCTGAATTCAAAGAAAATATCTATTTCTAAGTGTTCAAGAAAATCTTTTAAAATTACACATAACCATGCCTGCAAGCAAGTGATGTGTAAAGGTATGTACTTACCCTTCACTAAATTGCAAGGATAGCAACAGTAAAAGAGAAAACAGAGGTTTAGCTTAATCCTTCCTAGACTTAGCCATAGCAAGTATCTAGTATGAAGATGCAAAATCATTAGAAAAGAAATAGATTTTGACGATAAAAGCCTTAGTAGCACACAAATCCCCAGTTTCTTCTAGTTTTCCTCAAGTAATTTCAGTTCATTTTGGAAAGTGTCTAGTTGTTCTGTGTGTTTCCCCCACCCCATTAATCAAAGAAAAGGTTGCCATTAAGATGACTTTGTAAAGGAAAGCAAAAGCCTTGTCTTATTTTCTAGGTAAGTGACAAAAGGAGGTTGGGGGAGGCAAACCTAAACATCAAGTATTCTCACACTGTCTCCATTATGCCTAGATACATGGTACAATGTATATACCTACTTGTTGCCAGGTTTTTTTCCTTCCAGTGAGTTTAAATGTTGCTCAAGGGTCTCCATGAGACTGCTGGGAGCCTTGAAAGTGAAAACAAAGATTCACACCTCAATGTACTGCAGCGATCTAACCACAGCTAATCCAGCACCACCTTCCCTGAAGTCCATGATGTGCATGCTCATGCAGTTACTTTATTTACATCAGTGTGGAAACAGTGGATTTCCATGCTAGAAGTATTCAGGCAAAGCCAGCTTTCAAAAATGTATTACTGCATCCAAATTTGCAGAGAGAAAATGTTTACCTCCACTGTGCAGCACCTGAACCCTAAATCCAGGATGTGCTGCTCATCATGTTTAAATCAGTGTTAAACATGCACAGCATCCACAGGGCTGATTTTAAGATTCACGGGTTCAAGGACACACTTGGTTTTGCTTGTAGTGAGATCCCTCAACACCCCTTTCACGACCAGAAGGTTAGAAAGCATTTGCAGCCTAAACAAAAATTCCTTTCCAATGCCCCCAGAAGGAGCTACCTTTGGCTCAAGACTCCCAACATCACAAAACCTTACAGCTGTTCTCAAAATGGTATGGTACCCTGGCAGAGGTTACTGTGCAGCTAGCTTGAAGTGCAGAAAGATTTCTATTTTAGACTTCTATAAAAAACTAGGCTTTTTCAGGCATCCCTGATCTTGTGTTTTATTTTAAGCAACCTTTTTGTGGTCAGCAGCCAATACCCACAGGCACTTGCTGTTACAATGCAGACAGAAAAAGGTTTTTTTTCTATCTGCCATTGTAACAGCAATGTTGTAAATGCACACTGGGCTTAGCTATTCCAGTATAAAAATAGACCCTGGATAAGAAGAATTGAAGATCAACAAGGAGGGAAGAAACCCTTGAGAGACACAGTAGCATATAATAATTGAATATTTCATCAGGGTTAAAAGTTCATCAGTTCATCAGTCTCTAAACAGGGAATTCTCTTTACTGGTCTCTTTCAGATCAACCACAATTCCTGACAGCAATATCTATGATGTTTTTCATAAATGACATCTTTAATTTCGGGGCAGACATAATTATCAAACAAGTCAGTTTGTGATGCTTGGAAACAGGCAATCCTCTGCTCCTACACTGAAAAACCAGCTGGCTGGCTAAATCAGATCTTTCAGGATGCATAGCACCTGCTAGCACCAATGCACAGCTGTATAATGCACACTGCCTGCATATTGATTTCAGCATTAAATCCAGTAACTTAACACATCCAGAAATTTAAAACGCTCAAAATAATCTTAAATGACAGACTGAGTTTAAATACATCCTACGTATATAAGCAATGAAGAGACATCTTGACCTTGCTGCTTTTACAGGCATATTTATTAACTTTTAATTCATTTGGGCATAATAATAACTGGTTAAACACAAGTGACCTAGTTATGAGAATTCTCCAGCAAAAAGTAAAAGGTAAAACAAACTAAAAAACACAGAGAGATTCAGACTTTTATGTATTCAAAAAGGCTATATTTTAAGATACAATTGTGAGACTTGAACACGTAAGTAAAAGCTATGTTTAAAAAGAAATGTTAAAAAAAAGATTGCTTAATTTTACCAGTTATGTCTAGACATTTTAGACAACTTTCCAGTATATTCAAAGGCAATATTTAATATATATATTAAATTAAGCTATATTCCAGTATGTTCAAAGCTATATTTATATAGCTTTCCAGTATATTAGTCAAATATTTCTTAAAAGCCAGCAAGGTAATATAAAACTTATCTATCAAATAGAACTCAGAGAAGAAGCTTCAGAAAATTTCTACCCAGAAGCAACAACTTGGAAAGGAAATTCTATCTGGTACCCAATTTTCAACTGAACATCGCTTAATTTCTTCTAGATACTGCTTTAACATTAGATAATCTATCAGCATTGTGCTGGAATCTTAGATATGGGTTCCCCACTAGCTACTAGGGGCAAAACTGTCATACTTTAGGAAATGCCAGTAAATAAAAATGAGTCAGGATTTTTAGCTGCTAAGATGCCTTCTCAGCCTCCAAAATTTTGCAGGCAAACTATAAAGTCCAAGGATGAAAACTATCAACTCAAAATACGCTATTGGCACCACTTGTCCAGCTTTTCATGAAGTGTCAACACAACCAACTTCTTGCAGAACACTACCAACTATTGCCATGGCTTGCTATGGGAATATAGGTGTACCATTGATACTACATAGAATTATGTAACAATTGTCAGCTGAAATTCAGTTTTACTATTCACCTTTTATTTATTTCTCTCTGAAATACTCTGTCAAGGTCTCATCCATAGGCTATACACATGCCTCAGGCTAGCCTTAGCAAGTGAGTCCCCAGCCTCCTTTGGGAGAGTACAGCTGTGAGGGACCACCTGAGCAGAGACTGAAGTGGTCAGAAGTTGGATGAGATGATCACTGGAGACCCCCTTCCTTCCAAAAGAACAGTTCTATTCTAAAGTGCTGGCCATGGGGTGGAAGGTAGCAGTAACCAAGGTGCTGCTGAGCAAGTACAGCACTGACTGATGACACAGAACAGGCTGGTGCAACACAAGCAGAAGCAGATAGAAGTGCCACAGAAATTTATAAAGTATATTTCATTAACTGGTTTCCAGGTGATTTCTCCTGGTTTAAGGACTTAGTTTATCACTGACTCCACTGTGTCCAAAAAAGAGCCCCTGAGGTACAGAGTCAGGGGAAAACACTGCATCAGCTATTTCAAGATTAGGTCTGATACTGCACACACTGCTTTTGTCTGCTGAAAGGGTGGCCAGACTTTATAGCCCCATTGTATCTGAATTCCACAAAGATTAACAATCCCCACCTTCTCACAATGCCTCACTTACAGAATTTTTAAGTGGTGCTTAACTGAGAGACATACTATTCTGATATTGATTTAAACCAGGCTTTCAAGAGGCTATCAAAAACTGCATGAACAAAAACTATGTGTTTTTGTTGGGGTGTCAGCTGCTAAGTAGTTTGGGTTGCTCTTATGTTTCAGCTTTACTGGCATCAAATCTGCCACAAGTGAACGCTTCAGCATGGATCTCCTCCTCTAAGTAATTCTCTTCACATAAAACATAAAGTCAGGCACCCAGGCCAGTTTGCAAGTGATCCTTAAAATGGACCAGCAGCTACAGCATGTTAGGTGGTAGGACTTCACCAACATTTGCATTCCTGCTGTGCTTTCCTAATTACAGAACTTTTATTTATTACACAAATGCAAAAAGACTACAAGAGAAGCTTACCTGTGTAAGATCAGGGATATCACCTTTGTCAATTCCAACTTGCTGTGGAGATAAAAGAGTAAAGGTAAAATCTAAGTGCATTATTACACTGCAGCAGGCATTAATTTTGAGTAGAACTGCTCTTCAACTACAAGGCACCCTGTCTTTAGAAAAATACTACAAAGTTAGAAAGGATATGTCCATCTTTCCAGTAGCTACCTTCAACAACCTGCAGCACTTTTTTTCCCCCCACAAATTAAATATCCATTTAAAATAAAAGGATAAGAAAATGGAGCTTGATTTCACACACATGGACCTCATACTCTATACTGAAATATACTGTTGTCTCAGAGGAGAGCAAATTAAGGTCTCAGTCTGCAATCTTCTATTAATAGCCCTGCTGCTTCACACTGTGGTTCGTCAGAGTGACTGCTAGTTCAGCTTTTGCAGAAGAAGAGCAAGCCCCACTTCACCTCTTAATCCTGAAGGAGAGTCACTGTAAACCCCTGTCCAAAAAGCTGACATGTGTCCCTAAAGTACTTTACTCCCTCAAGTTCAATATTCATATCTGAAATTACAGGCCATTAAGGAGTCTATCAGGCTTCTCCACAGATAAGCGAATTAGCAAAGAAACAAACTTTTTATTCAGCTCATTACTACTGTCCATTATAATGAAGTATGAAACATGGAAATGTGCACCCTGTGCCAAAGAGCCAACTACCACAAATGAGACTCCAGCAAAGGAGTTAATTAACCATGTAATATCCCTATTATCCACACAAGAGGATGATAACAAGGAGCAAAACCAGGACCATCTCACATTACAGTTAACTTAATGCTGGCTGCAAAGACTAAAAGATCAGACTTAAAAAATCTGCATGCTTCTATTCCTAATTGCTTTATCTTCCTCTAATGTTCAACCCTGTCCTAGAAGTATGCTGTTACCGCAGCATTTCTCAAAAATATTGGAACATTTGAAGTTATGTCATCTCTTAATTTAACCAGGAAAGTTGAGTTTGGCTGTACCATAGAGACATGTAGAAGTCCTAAGCAGGCTTAACTAAAAGACCTAAAGAAGCAGATCCAACATCCAGATCCAATGGATCCAAGATCCTTTGAGACAGATGCTTAACAAGTGCAGTTAATATTTTACATTGGTGCTAACAAACAAACAAACAAAAACTAATCACAAAATACTTAAGTGCTGGCCTCCAGAAGACCCAAAGCCACTTACCTCTGCAACTTTAAGAAACTCTGATACTCTGGTCATTCGAGTTAGAAATCGTTTGTAGATTTCAAGAGCATCTTTACATTGTCCCTTTTTCATTTCGAAAAATTTCTCTGAAGAAATAATGTGGTAAATTTTAGTTAAGATGTATTACATTAGGTCCTATATCAGCAAGTCTTGTTTTCACAAAAATCATGTGTCAAGAATATGACACTACATTAACATTTACATTTATTACTTGGACATTTATCTAGTGGCATCTCTTGCCTAGTATAAGTTTAGAAGTTGGGCTTGCTGAGCTGCTGAAGAATTACATAGGCCATAAAATTGAATCTCAGCTAGCCAGAGCATTGTGTGTGATATCACTTTATTAAAGACTGAAAAGTAAGCAGGCGAAGCAGCTACTAACTCAAAATTCAAAATAATTAAGGATACATAAACACATACTAATATATGTCCTTTCCAAATTGTCTTCACTCCAAAGAACTGTATTTTTTTTACTTAAGTAGTCCCTAAAGTCCATTTATGTCTATTATTAAACACAGCTGCCACATATTTCAACCCAAACTTACACTTCAAGTAGCAGTAGACAGTGAAATTCCAAATGAAATTTTATGCCTAACCCATTGTGTCATGCTGGTGATCACACCAGGCTGCCTGAGCTTCAGAACATGCTCACAGCCTCCTTTAGACTATGTAGGCTGATGGTAGGTAGGATTGTGGAAGGGATCCAGCTTTGGCAGTCATGCTTTCAGGCAGATCAGAAATGTTATTCAGGAATATATCACTTCATACAAGGCTATCACATAATGTTACCACTCTCTAAAACTACCTAAAGGGAGGTTATAGCCAGGTGAGGGCTGGTCTCTTCTCCCAGGCAACCAGCAAGAAGACACAGCCAGGAAGGCTTAGGTTGGACATTAGGAGGAATTTCTTCACAGAAAGGGTGAGCAGACATTGGAATGGGCTGCCTAGGGAGGTGGTGGAGTCACCAGCCCTGGAGGTGTTTAAGGAGAAACTGGATGTGGCACTCAGTGCCATGGTCTAGGTGATAATGCAGTGTACAGTCACAGGCTGGACTCAATGATCCCAGAGGTCTTTTCAACCTAATTGAGTCTGTGGGCATCTTAAAAATGCAAAAGCTTCTAACTTTGCAGGGCATATTACACATGCTCACACAGCACTGTACATTTCTTTAAGCACAGATATGGTCACTGTCTTTAAAGCATCTTTTTTTAAGGACATGTGATGATCCAGCTTCAGATAAATACTAATGTAAGAGGGTACAGCTTAAATTTTTCTCTCATTTCAGACTAGAAGAGTCAAGAAAAATGTAGCTTTAATGAAAGTAAAAAACTGAAGCAGATCTGAAACTCATTCTTTACTCACGTATGGTATGTGAGATAAAAGCCAGGTTACTTACCTAGTAAGTTAATAACCCCATCATTGTAGCAAGCAAAAAGTTTGATGAGATCTTTGAACAGAAGCATGAATGCAGCATTTATGACACCATTTGTCAGTTCATTTGGATGAACCTGCAAATAAAATATCAGTTATTTACAAAACAGGTGTCAAATGCAAACATTTTGGCTTACATCAGGTATTTGGTGCTGTTATAGACAGAATCAAGCACTGAAGTTTTCATGCTAAAACACTGAAGAGAATTTTGGTTAGCAGATCAAGGATTGCTTTCCCCACCACTCCAAAACAATCCACTATGGCAGAGGAGTATCCACATCAATAGTAAACATCTTAGCTCTGTCTCCTTCATTTATCATGGAGAAGAGAAAGGCAGAGATGCTGTTTACAGTTTTAAAGAAATGGACAAAAGATGTCAGTTTACAGCAGAGCTCAACAAAAACTTAATAGTCCATGAGATAACGTATTTGGACTAATGATGTCAAGATCCTTTCTCACATTAACTTGGGAAGAAAATATGTGCTTATGTATTTAAAAGGTCTTTCTTTTCTTAAAAATATCTCCTCTTCTGAGAGCACTATCACAATTCCTATGCCATTTAAGGAATGGAAAGCACAATGAGACATGTATTTGAAAGCCTTTACTCTGAGAGCTGTAGTGGGCTCTTCCTTCCAACTCAAAATGTATCTTGCTGCCCGCCAACAAGAGAAGAACTCATTCCTTCAAAAACCTCTTTGAAATGTTCCACTGTGGCTTCTACATCAACTGATTCCTGTTTTTATCCTTAGGTCAGATAAACAATCCCACCAGCATTCATAACATGATAAATATACTGTACACACTTATTTCTATGAACAGTCTAGATTAAACCAATTAGCCAATTTAGTCCACAGCTGAAAACCAGATGATGATTTTGAGGAAGCCAAACAATGTACATATGGTATTTTAATGGGGTTTTTCCTCCACTCAAAAGAAGTTGGTTGCCAAGAGACAGAAAATAGTGGTCAGTCCTGCTTTGTCCATTTCTTCCCCCTGACTGATGCAGAAGATGAAACTCCAAGTTCTCTCTACAAAACCAAAAGTGCAAGCTTTACATTTCATGCATATGGGCAAGGGCCATCCTTGGCCATGATACCTCAGTGGGACACTGAAAAGGGATTTTTTGGCCCTCACTAAGGAATGAGGAATAAAGCATTACCTACAAGGTGAAAGGTGTTCATTACAATGCATCATTTATAAGTCACTGCCCAGTGTTAATACTGTGTCAGCTTCAATACATACATCAAATTCAAGTAGTGCATCAATTTGTTCCTGTAATATTGGCATACTCTTCAGCAGCTTTTCAGGAGCCATTGTTCTCATTACACCTTCAGCTCTGCAAGAGGGAATACAGATTAGAATCCATGCTGTGTTCTCTCTCCCTTCCCCCAAACTGATCTGTTGTCTAAAATTTATGCTTGAAACACCTATACCTCATTTCAAACCATTTCAAAACCACAGTCTGATTCTCCTGCTTCTCATGTCATCGTGAGAGCTGGCATGAAAAATCCTTTACCCAGCCACCTTTCCTGACAGCAAATGAGGAAAGGTTTTGTGTAAGAGTGATGAATGCAAGAGATTGATCTCATTATGGAAAGATGACACTGGGAGCTTAAATGACTAACAAGAAATACTGTCACAGAAGTACCTAGAGAACTGATATACTTTGTGCACCAAGTTTATTATGAATAACTAATGACAGCTCATTGCTGACATGTCCATGGATGAGCAGCATTCCCTAAGTGTCATCCATAGTCTTATAGCAGTCAACAAGCATTGTCATTTTTATCTCTGATTATGATAAATCTGCACAAACATCATTATGCATTGCCCTGTTCTGCTGCAGAGAGGAGTATATATATGCAGACTGGAAATGCATACCACTATTCTTACTTATTTTATGCTATATTCTGAAGCAGCACCTTGTTCTAGGCACCAGAAATAACAGGCATGGAAAGCCTTTCCAGGAATTTAGAGCAAGGCAGGAACAGTAGGATCCCCAGCAGCCCAAACTTAACTTTATTTAACATCAAATGTTCAAGAGCCAACTGGTATGGTCCCCACTAAGGGAATGGCTTCCAGCCAACAGCAAAGCTGCTGTGGTGGACCCCAGACTTCCTGGCTGTTTGAGAAGCAGGAGAGAACAGCCTGGTGGTGATGCCTGCATTAACAGGTCAGAATCCCAAGCTGCAGAACACACCAGAACTGCCAGAAGGATCCTGTATGCAATTCATGATTAGCAGGAGCATCTTTAGCATGCCCTCCATCAAGCTGCACCTTCAGGGGGTGTTAAGCCACTTGCTGCGTCAACAGTGCTTCAAGAGAGCATCTAGAGCTCTTAATGTCCCAGTTAGAGCAGTCAGAGACCAGAAAAATGTCCTCATAAATACCAACACACTACTCTGGGCTGGGTCAATATTATTTATTTTTAACACAGTTCTTGTGGGAAATAAAGCCAGCAGTTTACAGGTTTATTCTGTTCAGTTTATAACCGCTTGCTCTGTTGCCTGCTAATAACTTCAGGTGTTCACTTCAGGCTTTGTTTGCAATCAGCCATATCTCTTAGGGAAAGTGTCTGGAGAGTAATGAAACATCCTAAATGTAGTTTCAGAGTGTCTCCTTCTCCAAATCCCAAACTCAGTCTCACTGCAGCAAAGTTTAATTAGGGTAAGATTTAAACCTAGCATGAAATCCTCCCAGTTTCGCAAGGCACCTTACTTTGTTCTTCAATATTTGTCTTACTACCCAGAGTAAGACAAATACCCTCTCTTCTTTGGGCAATTTTTAACCAATTACAAGTACTTTAAAAATAAGGTTTTTCATTGTAGCTACACAAGTCATGTAACAACAAAGTAACTGAGAAACTAAAACTAAGCGCAATGCCACAATTAAGAATTTCATGGGTCAGACAACCTTATTAATTTACATATCTGAACTTTGCTTACCCTTTCTTCACTCTTGCAAAGTCAAATGCCATTTGTCTGTAGGAAAATGCTTTTTCATTCAAGTATCTACTATAACGCCTAATAAAGGTGGACATGTCATAACCTGCAAAAAAAAAAAGTTTCACATTTTATTATTTAATTTTCATGCTTGTCAGAAATTCTTTAGTAAATGATAAGATACAGCCAACAGACCACAAGATTCTATGATTTCTGTTACACTGTGCAATTTCACGTACAGAACAGCCATTACAAGACATCTTTCAGCTTCTGAAGAAAAATCAGTAGTGGCGCACCAAAACAATCTACCACTGTCCTCTGTTTCCAACAGATTCATACAATGCACCAGTGGCATGGTTCCAGGGGAAACCTGCTACAGGCCCCCACATAGTTATGGGGTAACATTACTTGGTGGCCAAAAAGTTACCCTTCTCTTAACAGGGGAAAAACACCAATTTTAAAAAAGTTTTTACTGAACTTGAACTTGGTACATGACTTCCAGGACAAAGCTCAAGTTCAACTTAAACACTCTCGATGTTTCATGTATGTTAGACACTGATTCTTACAGGGACCTTCAAAATCCCCCTGACTTGGTTTACCAGAACAAAGAAATCACGATGACATCCCCAGAGATTACTGCCTTCCTTGAACTGTTCCACCAGAAACACTCAAGGCACATAACACTGTACAAGGCATCTCAAACTTCAGTGACTTTCAAGCCTATGACACTTGAGCAGTTAGTATTACAGCCTGTCCTCCAGAGTTTCTTCCTCTAAGCCACAGAAATGTGTGCAGAAGGCAACTCATCTTCCTCTTCAATTTAAGCCCCTTTTTGCTACCTTTCTAACAATTCACACCCCTCAATTTAGTCACTGATCATATTTTCCGTTAATATCTTTCATCATTAAGTATCCCTGCCAATTCAAGCATAACACTACAAAATGTGATGCCTCATTATCTATGATACACTGTGCATTATCTATGAAATGGCAATCTAAGTTTAAAGAAAGTAGTGAAGAACACAAATGAATTTAACAAAATAATTGTTGGCAAACACCAGTGTCTTTGAGCATATATACAGACACATATATCGTGTTTAGCTTAGATGAACACACTCAGTATTTGTTTACCTTTGTTCCTTCTGTTATCACATCTAAAAGTTGCTAAAGTTTTTTGTGTCCCATGTCTACATCAAGAGATGAAATAATGTGGCATTGCTTTGAATTTGCCCATTATTGTAGCATGTCTGTAGTCTGCAAACAATTTACAACTATTCTCTGACAGCTGAAGAATAGTATTTTTCCTCTTTTTTTTTCTACCATCAAACAAGCTTTTCTTCTGTTAATTGGGGGCACAGGAAAATTCTCTAATAATTCCAGAGGGAAAAGTAGAAAAGCAGGCTTTGTAATATTCAGAGGGGAAAAGTCTTTAATTTCTGCCTAGACTTTCTAAATTTATTACTCAAATAAAATCAAAACCAACCAGTTCTTTTGGTGCCAACAGCCCTACCATTAAGAAGTTATAGATCATGCCTAAAAAGCAGAGTCCCCAAGCAACCAAATTACTATTTAAGACTGAGTAAAATCCAAAAAACTAAATGAGAAGCTATCAATTTCAACTTTTAACACCCATAAGAGTTAAGGAGATAGCTGACCCAGCCCAGATTTCAACCAGCACTTAAAGGATTTGTACAGCTTCACCTTTTGAGTAAAAATATTGCAGGAAATGAGAAAAATTTTTCTGAAGTTGTTCAGCAGTTCATTTGTGCTCCTGTATTTATTAAATATTTATAAAAAGGCTTCAGTAGTGCATTTTTATCTTATTTATATCTTATGAATTTAGGAACAAATTAACAATAGTCTTATTTAAAATCTTTTTAAGATTATACACATAAGTTGGCTTACCATGAGATCCACTTTTGTCCAGAAAATTGCTGAGATTGAACAATGTGTTTCTAGATGCCAGGTACTGAATAAATCTCTGAAACACAAAGTAATTTTTCTTATCAAAGGCTAGAAGGCTTTGTACCTTCTAGCAGCAAGATTACCAAGCCTACTTTCAGCATACAACATGAAACCACTGATTTTTGTCTTAGCCTGCAACACCTACCCCAAAATGTTTTGTTCATTCAGATTAATGACTTTTACTCAGAATCTCTAGTAAATATTCTACGGTATATATAAAAAATAGCTTACGTGAAAAACATAAAATATATTGTGAAAGGAGCAATAAAAAATGTTAAATTCTCAGGGATCTGAGGGAGCTCAAGATTTATCTGCTAACAAAGCACATATCCAGGCTAGTCCCAGACTTTTCAATCCAGAAGCGCTCAGTTTCAGCCAAGCTGAGGGCCTGTTTTAATAACAAGCAAAGCCCCTCATCAAACACAGGGACTAACAGCCTGAAACAGTTAGAGAAATCAGATGAGAACATTGACCAAAACTTGGAATGGAAAAATAGGAGTAAGAATTTACACTGTGAGAAGTTCATTGCATGAAAACACTTTATATACAGCCAGGGAGGAATTGTTTTACAGTCATACTGAGGTTCTTTAAATGTGCTGTCTCTTTTTATGCAGACATACCTGTCTATACAGGTCAAAAAAAAGCAAGGATAAGGATAACTTGATCTAAAAGGCTATCAAGCTAAATTTACAGCTCTAGGAAGATTTTAACACTCATGCAGAGAAGGCAACTATTTGGATGGCAGTCTACACATGCCAAAACATCACATTTGACCTTAGTCAAAAAATCCCAGGTAGTATTTAATCCTGTGTAGCTGTTTTCAGATTCAACACATAAACTGTCAGCATCCTGGCACAGGCTGCATCTTGGTCTTATGTTATGGTTTTGTAAATGGAAAGACAGATACACAGTCCAACTCTGCTGCTAACAGTAAATTTTCTCTTCATCAAGAATCATTCTTGCCCTTTGTTCCCAGGTCCTTTCTGGTTCAGACAAGATGCCTCTGCACTACTAACACTTTTGGCTTGGAGCGTGCTCAGCGCCAACGTGGCCTTGAAAGAGCTGCTCACACTTACCTCATTGCCATGGACCATGAGATGATGTGTGGTGACTAAGGCTTTGAACACGACCACCCAGCTGCTATTCGTCGCTCGCTCAAAAAGCGTATCAGCCATCTGAGGGATGTTCACGTTTGTTTCATTAGTTGCTTGGATCAAGTCTGTAGGAGAGACAAAAGGAAGGTGTTAGGTGCTACAAGTATGATAAAAAGTTTGCAGCATGGCAAAGTTCTCAGACCACCAGGCTGCAGGCCGTGGTTGTGGCAAACAGCAAATTCAGTGCTTTTACATTCCACATTCAAAAAAAGAAACTAAAACAATAACAACAATAAAAACCCAAAACTGAGATTATACTAGTACATGCTGATAGCAGCAGTGGTCTAACTCTTTCATCCAAAACCAACAGTTTTCCAACAATTCTGTCCCGAGCTATGACCAAACATTGCTCCATCTTTACCCCAGATGAAGTTAGGGTGCACAACATCATGTGACTTCACTGCCTGCAGGTTTTTAAGTTAATTGTCATTGTTCATTACCTCTGAGTTAGAGAAGTACTATTGAATTCTTCAACTACAGGTAACATGTCCAGCACACTGAACCCAGTCAGCAAAAAGAGGCACCACCAGAAACAGATACTCTGTCACCCCAGAGATTGTTTTAACAATCAGCAAGCTCCAGCACACCTCCTAGAGCTTCTACAGACCCAGGAAGCAGAAGAAGTGCATTCAGGCACTCATTAAGACCTCCTCAACAGCAAGAAAGAACACAAGGAATGACATTAGTTTCTACTGAAGCAACTGCACCTCACATTAAGAATAAGTAAACTTGCACAGAAGAGTGCAAGAAATTATGTTGAGCAGTTAAATCATAAACAATGAGGCAGCAAGCTTTCCACTATCCTCTATATCCCTCAGTATCTGTGATTCACTACATCCCCTGTTACCTACTGACTCCAGTTTGGCAGCCAGCAATTACCTTCTACAAGCTATCACCGATTTTTGAGACACAGCTGGAAACTGCACACTGCAACTGCATGCCCAAAACATTTGTGATGCCAGACACAGCCCTAGCAAAACTCAAGAAGACAACTTAATGCAAGACAAAGAGTACAAAACACAGATCTAACTGTAGGGCTGAGGCTTAAAATTGGAAGACTTAAGCAAAAAAAATTTACAAGTTTAACTACTAGACTAAGCATTATCGGAAATAAAAATACTCATCTTCTACTTTCCCTCAGAGGAATCATTGTTAATGATTTCTTCCTTATCTCCAGAGTAGAAATTTTCATTCAGTTGTTGAAGTCATTCAGTCATGACAGATATTCTACCTCAAAAGCAGACAGGATATTTTGTGACTGCTCCTTGCACACCTAAACTATGTGAGTCTACAGGATTCCAATTCACTTGGGCAGTAGGGTCACCACTTGGCAAACTTCCTTTCTCTCCCCTACCTAATCCAAACAATGGAGAGCAGAAATGTTGCTAAGAGTGGAAAGTCAAGGCTCAGAATTCAACTACTGATTCTGCCTTTTCAGGATAGGAAAATTCCAGAGGACAAATCTGTCTAAATAGATCAATGAGTCACATCAGGGACTGAGACCCACCTGGTGTGTATAGAAATCCACACTGCTGTACCAGAAGCATTCAAAAGTTCAGGTTTTGGTTGGTTGGTTGGTTGGTTTGTGTCTTTTTAAAATTCCTGGCATGTTATCTTTATGGGTTTTTTACCTTCTATTACAAAGACTTCATTTATTTAAGATCCAAGAGATCTCTAGCTCAGAGTCACAAGCTTGGGAAAACCATAGTGCTTGCCTGCATACGAAATTGTCTATTGTATGGGCATAAAAGCTGCAAGTTGTCCTCAGCTTCAGGCCAGGGGAATGATTTTCTGGGATGATACAGGAGACAAAAATTATGTGATCCATTTGCCAAGTTTGAATTGAAAATGTATGTTGTCATGGCATTTTGTTGTCTTGGTAATAGAAGATGGAAGTTTTTCGCAGAACACCTTCTGAAATGTGTTTACTTCTATAACCTCAGTAATGCTACCCTTGAAGGAGGCAGCTCTGCAGACAAAGTATTATAATGGCAAAGCCACGCTATTGAATGACAGCAGTTCAGGATCACAGAGCTCCAAGAATTCTCCTTGATCTTGTGGTACAAACAGACCAATGATATTTTATTCTGTACTGCTGATTAATGCATTATAGGAGAGAGTGGTTTGTAAAAGCCTAGAAGCAAGTCACAAGTGGCTTACTCACTGTTTACCCCGCTCCAAGATTTTACTGCAGGTGACAGCATTTGTCTTATTCATACAAGGAAATGCATCAAATTTGTCAGCTTTCAGTCTTGGGCTTCAGGATGTAGATTTCTGTGAAAGAGCGATGCTATAAATAGTGTACTGGTGCACTTTGGACAATGAAACCCCAGAGCAGTCCATCCACAGAGATGCTGGCAATGGAGACAACAAGACACTGCTACATGATGCCCCAGCACTGCTTCTGAAGTCACTCAGTCATTTCTGTCTCCTCTCCAAACTGCTGGAGGGTACAGCATCTCAGTCTGAAGCTCTGAATGTTTTAGGACATGAGTAATTATAGTGTGCAAAATAGAGGGGCATGATTAAAATTAAGTCTACTACTTTCAGTGCACAGAAAAGAATTAAACCATGCATGAAGATGTCGCTTGTCATCTGAGGCCAGAAAAAGGAGATTGGGGGTGGGGGAATAATTCTTGCAGAGCTGTTTCCTATTTAGTCACACCACAAAGATAAGGTATTCAAATTTCCTGGGTTTCTTTTCCGAGTATCACAGAGTCTCAGCTTAACCAGCAACCATCAGCATCTGGAATGAAGCACCAGCACAGATAACTTTACAAAACTGAGCAGCAGGGTTTGGTGGCTAAGCTAAATTTTAAAATAAGAGTTGGAAAAAATAATTTTACTTTAATGTGGTAAGGAAGAACAGATACAAGGAAAAATAAATCATATGCAGGAAAAAAAATCTAGAAACCACATTTTCAAAATATACAAATTCAGACATTTGCTGGGTGGACAAGTGACCATAAAGATTAGTCTTCCAAGGAAGTCACAGGTACATTTGCTAATACAAAATAGGAAATTTTAAGAAGAAACAGATGAAGAACAACCCAACAGAAACCATATGAGCAATCTTGCAAAGTTGATTCCATTTGGGGCACACACAAGTAGGGCAAACAAGAATTAAAGGTACCTTCCTGAAGAAGTTTCTGTTACTGCAGGCATCCAGTACACTGACAGCTAATCCCCAAACCCACTGTGCTCAAATACAAATTACAAGCACAGTCAGAGATCAGAACTGCACTGCAGCAGCAGCAAGTGCTTCTACCACAGATTTCACAGAAGTGAAGTAACTGGAGAATGAAGTTCTATATATGCTTTATTTGAATCCATTTGTTTACTGTGGGACTAAATCACAATTGCCACATCACAATATGTGCTTTCTCCTACTTCCTCTCTCCCCATTTTCGTAGCTGCTATTTTAAAGACTTCTCCAATTAAAGATACTTTTAAAAATTATAATTTTACTTCAATATACTTTTTTAGTTAAGCTTTGAGATGGAAAATTGATGGAAAATCAATGCAGTAGAAGAAATAAATGGTTATCAATTCTCTGACACCGTAACTTAAATCTAAACTGCAGTCTTTAAGCTCTTGGACAGGCCAATTTTTTCACCCTGGCTTAAGACAACTGCAACTTAATAATACTCTAGGTTTGCTTCTCTTTCCTAATTCACACCTCCATTAACAAAAAGAAAAACCTGCCAAAGAGAGGAAGAATGGTGGAGGGTTCAGAGCCCACTAAAGGATGGGACTAGCTTTAGTGTTTGTTAAGCTCATAAGGCAAAAAAAGGGAACAGTAAGAACGTTTCAAAGGTTTCAGAATTACAGATTCTTTCAATTTCGTTAAAAACTAGTTTCTAGTTCTTTTTATGAAAAAACTAGTATCTAGTTCTTTCTTTAATGAGAGAGATTATACCATACTTTAAAGAAACTCCTAGTCCTTTATCTTTCCAGATGATATTCTGGATCTGAGCAGGGCTTTTTTCCTGTTTTGTTTTGGCCCTCCTGCGCTGTCCCCTCCCCCCCAGATTCTCTAATAAAGACCTGGGATTTCCCAGTTCATGATTAATTATTCACAATTTACATTTCAGTATGCAGAGAAACAGCAGCAGAGCACAAGACCTCTCTGTTCAGAGAAATATCAGTGCCAACTTAAGAGCAGCTGTCACTCCAGACTGAATTAACACACAAGCTGCCTCAGCATCTGAGCTGTGTCATACACTCAGTTCCTAAACTTTGCCAAATCTCTCCAGCAGTAACCCACTTACAGACCCTCCTTGCTACTACTCAAATGCTACGATAGACTTCAGGAGTTTTTTTCTCACTTATAAGCATTTAAATAATGCCTTGAACCTACTGAAAAGGAAATGCAGGATTGTTCCAAATCCAAGCTAGTCAAGAACAGAAAGAAGCAGCTCAGAGTAAGAGTTTTCAAGCATCAACTAAGAAAGTTAAGTAGGCAAGCAGGAGCAGAGTCCCTCCCCTGCAAGACAGAACTGTATTAGGAAGCTACTGGAGCACAGTGCTAAGCAAGGCAAGAGCTGAACTTCCCAGTCTGCAGAAACCTGACCACAAAACCGTATCAGAAAGCAGAACAAAGTTACCAGTTTCTGCTTCCACAACAATTGCTCATAAGAACATCAGCTAATTTGAATGTTGTTGTCTTTGACTATCAGGCAATTCCATAGAAAAGAGTTTGAATTTGTTTCTGAGATTATCATTTATCGTTTATTCTTTTCACTTCCAGCGTGCCCTGTCCACAGAAACGCACATCTTGGTCTGGCTTGTAACAATGACCCCAACAGCAGTGCAGGCTGTCTCCTCCTTCCTCCCCAAAAGTCTGCCTCAAGTTGGGTTGCTGTATCTCACCTTGATGCCAGCAAGTCAACCTTTTACCAAAGTCCAGCATCTTGCAGATATTGCCTTCAAACTCCCATGCCTGTGCCAACTCAACACACCTAAACATAATCTTCCACTGAGCATGTGCTCTCCAAGTATTTTACACTCCCAACAATGCAGCTGTAGCTCTAAGGGGTGCTACCTTCCTCTCTCCAGCCTTACT